AGTGTGTCAGTACATTTGGTAGCATGATTAAGTTTATTTCAAACAGTAAAATGAAAGGTGTATAAAAGTTATAATTTTTTTTAAGTTGTTCTTTATATTATATTCATCATACTTTATAAATACTAAATGTATATATACAGCGTCACCTATCATGATTATTAAGACTTCTACTCTAGTAGGAAAATTACCGTCTGTGTGGCATTGAAACAAAGTAGGTGTTAGTAGTTATACTATTTTCGTCTAGATGGCGCTGGTTACATTAAGAAAATAAATTTTGCCAAGCATATCGGAGTGATTAGCTTTGTTTACTTTTAAAAGAAAGTAAACTTAGTGACGTAAGTATATTTGACTAATATATTTTTGTAGGAACACTCCAAATATGGTGGCGGCTCTTCTAACAAGCTGTTCACATCAAACCAAGAAGCGATAGTAAAGAATCGTCTTCGTATATGTGTTCAGCAACACCAGAGGGCGCTACGGGCTGCTGAAATACTGCAGGAGTGCTTCTCTCTACCAACATTCGCTCAGTTCAGCGTATCACTCGTTATAATATGTGTCACCGCCTTTCAAGTATTGTCTGTTAGTGTTTTTGTATTTAATATTTATTTATTTTTACATTCTTTTGATATATGTATACCCAAACGATAAATAATTATAGTATATGATATAACTTTAGGTATAATATAGTCACCTGGTTGATATTGAATACTTGCGCTCACATTCTAGTCTGAATTCGGCATATATCTCTGCCGACAGTATATATTATTATTTTAGCTAACTTAAATTTTAAAGCCCCCTAAAAACAACAGAATATAAATCACTACAAAAAGATTAATACCCTGCCATTGATTAAATAAGGTAACAAGAAGGAAGTCGTGATTCCTAGCGCAGTAGTTGATTTTTACAGAGAACACTTTTGACCGCTAAAGAGATGATTAAAAAACACTTTTTACGTTTGATATATCGGTATCGTCTTTATTGATGTGTTAACAAAGACAGACTATTTGTGTGGTGAGATTATAGAGTTGAGTAATAATTTTGGCATAATATCTGTACGAAAGTATGTTTACTTCAGTTTTATGTTGCTATTACTTGTATACCTAAAAGGGATGTAACAGACTTTGCCAGCTGGTCTTCCGGAGAAAATCCATGTATGGATTTACACCCTGTATGGACCTAGACCCGATTTTTTGCTTTTTGAATCTTTTACTTAACTTAATTACTTAATTTTAATTTTTTATTACTAAACCTTTGTCATATCTAACTGTTTACACTAGACGATTACTATCTAATTTTCTATCAAAGGAAGAGCTCTTTAAATACTTTTTAATTAGTACCTTAAAGAAGCTTCATGTATGGATGACAAAAAGAGTGGCTGCTACTTATTTTCTTATCATTTGGATTAATTAAAGATTCCCACATGTATGAGTCAACAAAATATGTATAACCTGGTGCCTGATGGGCATTTTTATACAGACAAACCTGAAATTATATTCAATTATTGCCGATTAGATTTAGCAAGTCCAAATTATTTTATCGTAGCACTAATACGGATATTTCATTTGAAAATGAAGTTGGTAAATTTGCATTTCGTATTCATATTTTGTTAAGTATTTTAATTCGTGTGAATGGATTTCAAATTGCTGTCATATTTAATGAGATATATTATATCTTCCTCAAACAGTTGCTTGCTGACCTTATGTTCGTTGCCAGTTAAGTATAAGTCAATTGAAAAGACTGTTTTAGTATGACAACATTGCATTGAAAAGTGTTCATCTTTTATTTGTAAAAGTTATATTATATATTTTTAATTAATTTCAGCAAACGAGTAACCTTGTGAGGTGTTTATCAATGAGCACGTATCTCTTGAATATGATTATACAAGTGTTCCTATATTGTTATCAAGGACACTACTTGACGGTGGAGGTATGAAATATATTGTATTACTATTATATTCTAAAATTTTCATGATTCAAAACCCAAATATAACAAAAAATGTGAAACTAAAGGTAGTCTTAAAGCCAAATGTTAATTTCTTCCATAGTATTTTATATTGTTGATATTGATAACGGTAAGAGGTGAACCATATTAAGAGAAAAATAAAATAAATAAAACATATACATATACACAAAATCATTCACATCTATATATATAAATATATATACCTAAATAAAAAGTCGTGGTGGCGTAGAACCTGCAGGGAGAACATGTTGTTCAAATTAATGCTTTCTCCACGACCGATGACGTAGCTCCAAAACCAATTCAAAACCGATGGACATAAACTCATAGAACAATATATAGACAAAAATAAATTCAACGCAGTAACCTGTTTATTGCCGTTCGCGAAACTCGGTCGGTCGGTCAGTCAGTCATTTCAACCTTGATTTTTTTAGGAAACTAGCTGTCCCGGCAAACGTTATTTTGTCATATAAAAAATAGGGGGGTGATAAAAAAAGTTAACATTTGGGTTGTATGTATTTTTTAAAGCTACATTATAAAAAACTAAAAAACAAAAAATTCCTCCAAAAATTAAATAAATACTCAGAAGGGTGAACAACCTTTATGACTTAGGGGTATGAAAAATAGATGTTAGCCGATTCTCAGACCTACTCAATATGCTCACATAATTTCATCAAAATCGGTCCAGATGTTACGGAGGAGTTCGACATACGACATACGACACGAGAACTTTATATATAAGATAATCCAGGACTATTCTTATTAGTTCTATTCTTACTGTATTAATCTACTCATTCTTTGTTTTGTCGTATGTAGAGCGAGCAGTTGGCCCGTAGAGCGTACGAGTCGCCGTGGTTCATGTGCAGCGTCTCCGTGCGCCGCTCCATCCTGATCATCATGATACGCTGTCACCGCATCGTCAAGTTCACTGCGGGAGGATTCACGACGCTGTCTCTCGCCACCTTCACTGCTGTACGAGTTTGATGCTTCACTTATGTTTACGATAGGAAACAAGCAAATGTACCATATTGTCGTTTTGAGTAAGAAGTTTATTGTAGTAATGTTTTAATTTAATTTTCAGGTTATAAAGTTGTCCTACTCAATGCTGACGCTACTGCAACAAGTCAACGAAAAACATTAAAAATGTTCCTATAAATGTGAAGACTTCATCGGTTTTCAATAAAATACTTAAATTAATCTAATATTTTAGGATTTACTACGCGATTTTTCATATTTGACTATGAATTACATATTCCCGACGTTTCGGTTACTTTACGGTAACCGTGATCACGGGCAGACGAGATGTGTCATGGGAGTCACTCAAAAATAAAAAATCGCGTAGTAAATCCGAAAATATTAGTTTAATTTAAATGAGTACTCGCGAAAATCTTACATCTCATAAAATAAAATACTTCTTAATGAGTATTTACACTAATTAGAAATTATTGTTTCGTGGTACTTTTATGATAGTTTGCATAGTTAGAATATCTAAAACTTATTTTTTAAAATTTATTATTACTTTATACTTAAAATAAAAAATATTTCAAATTCTATATTTATTTCTTTTCTCCTGTGACTACAAACCTTAATAAGAGCTTATTACGTCACCAACGCCAAAATAAGTTGTCAAAAACTACCCTCCATTTACACAAAAACATTTTACTACCACACAAAAAAAAACAAATAACTTGTGTAACCGAAAGTTTGGTGTTATCAGATCAGAATGCCATGATTGTGTGACATTGGCATGTGGTTGCAATCATGCTGGTGCTTTTTTATGTGGTGGCATCGGAGAAGCGTAGGACATTCTTGCACAAAAGATGAGTCCTATTGTGCCAGGGAACATGCTGAAAGCAACTTGAATAGACTGGGCGCTTTACACCTAGGAGTCCGACATAACCACAGCTGCCCTCCTCGGGCCGAGTTGTATGTGAACAGCATTTTGCCAGCGTCACCAAATAAAAGGTACATCAATGTAAAAATTTAACATGGTTTTAACATTGCCGTCAGTTTTTAATAGTAGCTTTTAATATTTGTTCTAGCCTCTCTGAAATCCCTTCGTAATTGTTTTTTTACACATAAAAGTGGATTAATCTTCTAATTAATATCCATAAATAGTTAAGACCTATATCAATAAACATAACAAGTCATGTATTTGAGTTGATGTGCATTACTTATATGTGATTTTTGACCAAATGCCACAAAATATTGATTAAAAATGTATAAGTGAACGATGGAGCAAAGGTTATATTTATAATAATTGTGTAACTGTGTTTGTCTTTTAAACACAGTGAGGCTAATAACTGCGATTACATCAGGAGTGTGGATGACCTGTTTTTATTGTTTAGTTCTATTACAAAAAGCTTTTAGAATATAGTACAGGTATATTAGGAGCAGAATTAATAGATATATTGTAATTACAGTCAGTCGATTTGTGATTATGTTAAAGATAAAAAGAGACTAGGAAATACGGGAGGAATCGTGAAAGGTTAGTTCTAATTGTTCTAAAAAAGGAATGACAATGGTTTAAATCTTTCTTATATTTTATTTGATATACATATATTTATAGAACTAACCTATGCAGTATCTTTCGTTCAGATTTATATTTTACAGTTTGCATGTCATTTCATGGGATCATGTTAAATAAGAGTGTTAATTAAATTATTTTGGAAATACAATTAATATTACTATTGAATTATATATAACTGCGCCGACATATATTTTTACTATGTAAATCTTTGCTGAATAATATTATTATCTGATTATATACTTTTATAATGTAGTAATGTTATAAAACTGATGTTTTAACCGGTATGGCGTAAGTTTTGAATTCTTCGAAAACTAGTCAAAATCGTTTTCAGTCCCTAAATTCTTTAATTACATATCAGAGGATAACTTTCGTACACTTTCGTGTGTTCTTAAAAGATAAACATGACTATTGATTCTTTAATACTATATAAAGGGTTGATCATACAATAGATTACAATTGTCTCTCCATATAAGAATATCGTTCACGTGTAAAGTATAAGGAAGACATCATCATGGGACTCATAGTACAGAACATTAATTTCTCTCTCCGTTTTCCTCTAACCGCTCTAAAGATGGCCGGTCTCTGGGCGCCGGATGGAATGAAAACCAGGAGGAAGGCTCTGTATTATTGTTATACTTTTGTAATTCTCATGTTCCTCTTGGGTAAAAGATTTTCTTTTACATAATTTTTCATTAAAAAATTGCCCTAAAATCTATTCCACACCTATTGTAATAAATACCTCGTTTTTTTCATGTTACAGGCACATTACTCGTCTTACAAGTGATAGATCTGTATCTCATCTGGGGCAACCTGTCTTTAATGACGGGTACAGCTCTCGTATTATTCACTAACATCTCTCAAGTCACCAAAATTATAAATCTCATCGCTCGTCGGAACAACATCGACTTTCTTATAAAGGACAGTAACGATGATCTGGTAGCTGAGACTAGTTCTCGTGGCGGAGAGTTGATTAAAAGGTACTATTACTATTATATTCAATGTATTTGTTTTAAATTAAAAACTAGATTCCTTGTTTTACTAGAATATGTTTTTTGTCAATTTCAAACTATCACTATCACTTGTTTAATATATTTGTACTTAACTTATTAGGTTGTAAATGTATCTTAATATTGATGCCGTAATTAGATGAAGAGATCATTAAATATTCGTTCTTCTAGGTGTGACCATGAGACCAGAAATCAACAAGTTATATTCCTGCTCATGACTTTCGTTACTACCATCGGCTGGGCGACCATCACTGACAAGAATGGACTCCCTCTACCGGCTTGGTATACACTAACATTATGTTAATGTCACAACTTATAAATATAAATTATTGATTGTAAGTTACCAACAACCCAGTATTAAAATTTCTATAATTTGAATGAATCGTTTCCGTATTTAACTCGCGTATGAAACCTTACTATCAGCATATTGGTGCTCAACGCTCAAAAAAGGCCTCTTCTCAAATGGAGGCGGTTTGAGCATTAATCACCACGCTTGCTCAAGGCGGATTGACCAATTCCAATTTATAATTTGGAATTATAAGTCCAGGTTTCCACACGTTGTCTTCCTTCACCGAGAGTTAGTGATGTCTAAATACTCTTAGAAAGTACATACAACTCGAAAACAATCACATTCGTATTTGCCAGGTTTCAAACTCGCGTCCTCTAGCATGAGAAGCGAGCCTTAAGTTCTACGCTACCACGACTTTAGAAATCTTCACAGCTGTTAAAAGAAACTCACTAAATATAATCTTCTTCCAGGTACCCTTACGACACCAGCATCTCTCCCGCCTACGAGCTTACCTACATGCACCAGACGTTGAGCATCATGATAGTGGCTGTACTGAATATCAGTAAGGATAGTCTGGTCACAACTCTGTTAGCGCAGACTAGGTGTCGACTTACACTGGTCGGATTGGCCTTGACTAATGTATGCAGCGGTCTCATGCCTCGAGTGAGCGGGATTTTCGGGGTTCCGTATATATATTTAGATATACCTATAAAACTTAATTTTAAAGTGTTAATTCTTATTAGAGTTAGAGAAGGTATTTAAAATATTGAATTAATGTGACTAAGAGACCCATAATTTAGTCCCTCTCATACAATTTGAAATGTTTAAAAATAAGTTTCTTTCTGTGAGTTATAAAAAATGATACTAAACGTGTTCCTTGTTCATTGAAGTGTGGTTTCCAAAATTGTATATTGATTCAGCGTCACCTATTATCACTATTAAGACTTTTATACCGGGAGGATGTCAATGCCGCAACTTTCATTCACACAAAGTTCCGCCATAGTTGTGATTACATTACTATAGTACAGATCTCTTGCATATATGCTCTAGATATCTTGCATAATTATTTTTTAAGATTGTCATTGCAATCAACTCTATTTATTTCTATATTACTGAATATATCTTTGTAGGAAAACTACAAACCTGGTGGCGGGTCTTCTAACAAGCTCTTCACATCAAACCAAGAAGCGATAGTAAAGAATCGTCTTCGTATATGTGTTCATCAACACCAGAGGGCGCTACGGGCTGCTGAAATACTGCAGGAATGCTTCTCTGTACCAACATTCGCTCAGTTCAGCGTCTCACTCATTATTATTTGTGTCACCGCCTTTCAAGTATTGTCTGTTAGTATTTTTGTATTTATTGGTTACTTTTATACATTAACTTAACTAAATTCTCAAAGAAATTATCGAGTTTGTGATACAATTTTAGATTGTTATACATCACACAGCTGATTTTGAATACTTACTTGTATGTACTTGCACTTTTGTGTCATTGGTATAGTAGCCATTCTTTTCCTTGTACTCGTATCATTATAGAAACTCTGAAATTTCCTCCTGTAGAGAAAGTTGTATGTTGAAAATTCTATTTCAATGATTACAATAAACTTGAAGCCTCTCCAAATACTCCAGAACACGAAGCACTATATGCATATCGTCCTCTCCATGGCTTGTTCATTGTGCCAGCTTAAAAAATCTCTTTATGAAGTGATTTTACTAAAACTGTTGTTATAATGTCAACAAATACAACAATTTATTTTCTATTTCCCCCCTTGTTACTCAATAGTTTAATTTCTCTGAATGGCATTCAAAACATTGCCATATTCAAATGAGAGGTTTTATCTTCTCCGAACAGATATATTTCCTAGTCGACTTAAATCTTTTTTTCTAGTTATTTTAAAATGTTCCTATGTGGTAAATATTCGGAAAACTATTTAGATATAAAATAAATAGATTGTTTTACTATGTCAGGATTGAATTGTGTTTATGTTTTAAATATTTTTGTCAATTGTGATTATTTTTATTTTATTTCAGCATACGGGTAATATAATCGGGCTGTTACCACGATGTACGTATCTCCTGAACATGATTTTTCAAGTGTTCCTGTACTGTTATCAAGGCCACCATCTAACGGCGGAGGTATGAACCATACTTTATTACTATTTTATATTTTTTACTAGAAGACCTGGTGAACTTCGTATCGCCCTATAATCAGGAAATATCTATTACGTTTTTTTATTTATATTTTTGGAGTAAGCCATAAATCTCCGTGTTTTGAAGTGCGACAGAATGATTGACATACTAGTTAGTTGTCAAATCTAATATAAAAAAAACCGTTTGTATGGGAAATAGAAAAGGGCTGTTTTTATCGTTTTCCCAGTAATGAAGCAATTTTTTAAAGCTTTTATACCTTCCCTGAACCTCCACAAACATTTCAAGACTAAGATAAGATAAATCCGTTCATCCGTATACATATGCGCGAATCCTAACAATTAACAATATAATATAAATATAACTATAGAATTATGATAAAATGAAGTTTTATTTTAAAATATAATTTTAAAACTTTTATTATTTTCATGATCTACTTTTAAATTGGTATTTTTTTAACTTGTAACACTTTTCCCCGTTCGACTCTAAATAAGTAAGTTCCATAAATAAGTAAAAATAAATAAGTTCCATTAAAATTGAGAACAAATCGGTAATATTGATTCAGTTGTATTTTTGCTTACATTTTAAGACGTTAAATTAATTTGATTATATTATAGGTCAGTCAATTACTATAAGGTATAATTATAACCTTTACTTGGAATGGTTATCCATTCTCAAAGAGGGTTGATGACAGGCAGGCGGCCGGTCGTAAAAACAATTAGCCAACACTGTTCACAACATGTAAGGCAGACCCTGGCTAAAGCTGGGAAATTGCCAGGTAGAAGAGACTTGAAATGGTTATTTAAAAAATCCTAGTTAAAAAAGAAAAATCATAATGGCAATTGAATTTATTGGTCATTTGGATGAGGCTTGTTTTGAATGAAAATATATATTTTTATGAAAACTTAAACATTGAGGCTCTGGATATTAAAATAGTTTTTAATGTTAGAAAATAAAGCAGATTTTTAAAATAAAGATGAAATAATTTCTCCCATTTTTTACACATTTACCACTATATCTTTGCTCCTATTGATCGTAACGTGATGTTATATAGCCCACAGCTTTCCTCGATAACTGGACTATCCAACACAAAAAGAATTATTCAATTCGAACCAGTAGTTTCGGAGATTAGCGCTTTCAAACAAAGAAAACAAACAAACTCTTCTGCTTTATAATATTAGTATAGATTGTTCATTAAAATACAAAAAAATATATAAAAAGAGACTATCTAACATAAAAATATATGAAACTAAAGGCGGTCTTAAAGCCAAATGGCGATTGATCCATACCACCGTAAGTCTAGAAAAGTTATATATTGTTGATATTGATTCGCTATCAATATCAATATAAAGCTGTGAACGTTATTAAGGAAAAATAAAATATTATTTATAGTATTAACTACACATAACATAATAAAATAAATATTCAGATGTGTTAATATTACGCGAGTCAAAGATTATTAAGTTTAACTTTTTCCTCTTTGTTATTAATGAAGCTTAATGCTACAAATTTTTATTTTTCACCACATTTGATTAATATTGACGATCAAGACAAAGTCTGATCTTGTTAAATTTCAAAATAATTAACAGAAAATCAAAATGGTAAAACTAAAGACACGATGCCCAGCCGTCTGAGCGGAGTAAGGTTACTTCGAATCCATTCTATGTCAGATGCAGATGTGTTAAAAGATCGTTATGTGTAAAAAATATATAAAAATCGGAAGAGTTAAAAGCATTTCTAAAATATAATTAGGACAATGTTGTAACTTCCTTCCATTCCGTCGGAAAACGAATGTCATAAGTGCCTTCAACTATTGCAGTAACTGTGACAAGGACGCAAAATTATATAACTTTTAAGGAACTTATGGTGATACGTAGGTAGGTCAAAGAGTACGCGGAATAGGGGGTATACAGGTGGCAAAGGGTCTCTTTTTTACCTGAACTTAAATGTCGCACTTATTTGGGGTATAAACACGAAGTTTCATAAAAATTAGGTTATTATTCAGTAAGATGCAGTTCAACAAACAAGTGAATTCGGAGGAAATTTGAAACATGGAAAAAATTTAGTGTCGCACAATTATTAAATATCTTGTTGTTGTTTAGCCCCCCTTCACCGTATTTTTTGACCCATCCTCACAGATAGTGTGTGATAGCACAAACAGATAAAATAGAACGTTATAAATGTAATATATTTCACCCTTTACTTTATGATTTTACTCATTCTTTGTTTTGTCACGTGTAGAGCGAGCAGTTGGCCCGTAGAGCGTACGAGTCGCCGTGGTTCATGTGCAGCGTCTCCGTGCGCCGCTCCATCCTGATAATCATGATACGCTGTCACCGCATCGTCAAGTTCACCGCGGGAGGATTCACGACGCTGTCTCTCGCCACCTTCACTGCTGTACGAGTTTGATACTTCACTTCACTTCACTCATGTTCACAATAGGATACAGTATATTACACACATGAAATGTAAACAGCTATTCGATATTATCATTTCGCGTCTGTTACGGAACTCACATATATTAGCTTATAATGTCAAGTTTTATAGTAGTTTTATACGAGATAAACTAGTAGCTTCTATGCCATTCTGAGCTGTAGTAATTTTTAATTTTCAGGTTATTAAATTGTCCTACTCAATGCTGACGCTACTGCAACAAGTCAACGAAAAACATTAAAAATACTCATGCAGTTGTTGAAATACACATAAAATATAATGTATAAGAGATTACCGGTTATCAATATACGAGTAATTAATGATTCTGCTGTTTTATTTATTATTATTTTATATTATTTTCGTTTGAGAAAGGGGACACCGAGCAGACAGTCTACTTGATTGGCAGTAGTCACCGTTATTCATATGTACATAGATATCTGTAGCATAAAAGATGTTGCGTTGCCAATCTTGGTTGTTGAGAAAGGAGCAAAGGTTGAGGATAAATACATGTCAAGAAAGGGTGAGAATAAAGGGCAATCAATTCTTTCGTTCATCAGACAAAACGCAGCCATTAAGACCACTTCACGCCGATCTGCTGTGAGAGGGTGGTTCTTCCCCGGTCGAGCCAGCCCATTTATTTTCCCACAGCTAGGCTCTAGAAACCACCTTAGAAACTTATTTAAAAACACTAAAAAATACTTGACTACGAATACACATTAAATTTTAAATGTGTATGTGAAAATTCATGCATTTTCTTACATGCAGTACGTTATGATTACCTGTAAGTGCATTTTATTACAAATTGTTGTCACTTTATAATTATACGTTGACGTGTGTTATATACGAGGTGGTATAATTAACTTGATGATATAATTATGCATTCATAACACTATTAAAAATAAATAAATATTCATAGTCATACATCGCAAACTTTGTTTTATATCTGACATAATTCTGTTTCACTACTTTTGAATCGGCAAGTTCTGAATTCCGTTGAAGATGATCATTGAGTTGACGATTTATTGCGGTGGAAGACAACGGCGAAGTTTATAGACAATGCACCTGTTTATCGATAAAGGTCATTCTTTTAAAACTTGAGTAAATGAAAGGGTTCACGACTCCTGATCCTTTATGCACAACAGCCATGTGAAGGTATAAAACGAATATTCCTGAACTCAATTTACTTTTGAATGTTATCGAATATGTCGCCATTCAGGAATATTGACTCAGCTTTGAGGTTCTGTAATGCTATTTTTACTGTTTTTGGCGTATGGCCACCTCCTGGCCTAAACGACCTCAGGAGCCGGTTGTACACTTGGTATTCTTTTCTTTTACCGTTTCTAACTGTTGGTAAGTAATAAGTGTAGGTAAGAACAGAATCGAATCAAAACAAGCTAGCGTTATTTAATATTAAGACAAAATAATATGACAAATTGATATGAAAGTGTTATTGTCATTTCTGTAGAACATCTATTCATTATATAAACTGTTTCATTATGTAAATGAAATAAAGAGTTTTTAACAATAATGTTCCTTCACAGAATGCTTTAAATTTTGTTGAGGAGAATCTTCCGATTTAATGGAAACATTCTTTCCCTTTATGAGACATAATAAATGGCAGAGTGTCTGAACTATTGATTAGTCAACAAATATTTTATTTCAAGATATATGTAAATGTTATATTTTGATATACTTGTTAACTCGTGAGAGATTCTTCTCGTTTTTAATGCCTATAACTGCAAAATCTATACAGGCCAATTAAATAAGATTAAAAAATATATTTGTTATATATGCATTATGTATTAGGTGTGTACATAATAATACAAACTGGAGATTTGGTCCAGGTGTGGGGCGATATTACTCTCATGACAGCTTCTGTTTTCATCCTCTTTTCAAACATCGCTCAGGTTATTAAGGTAATGTAAATAATTTACAAAGAGATATGCCTATTACTTTATTTCGGAACTTACAATATTTAAATTTGTCGAGTGTTCCTATATATAGATGAATTAAATTGTCTTTTAAACTCTCTGTTGCGACATGGGACACAGATTAGTCCAATAATTCTGTGTCCGTAGTAGTTAAACGAATAAAATTATGACTTGCCATTTATATTTCAGCTCGCTTATATTATTCCAAGAAGAGACTTGATTCGAAAAATTATTTTTGACGGAAACTGTGAATTGGACGGTCAAAATACCAAATTTGCGATTCAAACAGTTAAAAGGTTTCTACTTTTATCGGTCATACATTTTTTATAATATATATATTATATACATGTTTGTGTAAATATTTTTTAAGAGCTAGAAATAATAATTTAAGATTCTGTATATGTGAAAGTATGTCATATGATCAAAAATATTTCAGTGTTAATATCTTTTTTTTTTTAACAAAGCAACAGTTCATCCAAGGTAAAAAAAATCATCCAGTATTGATTTTTAATGATTTTGTTCCCTACACCTGAACATAATAATTAAATCTGTGTTTAAATATATTTATCTTTATTTGTAATCTTATAAATGTGAAAGTATATCTGGCTGTCCGTCTCTTGCGTTTTCATGCCTTAACCGCTGAACTGATTTTGATAAATCTTGGATGATAGATGGACTGAGGAGAAAGATAGCGGCTACCTTTTATCCCTGTCCCTAATCTCGGTAGGTTAAATTACTCACGAAAAAATATCCCTCTAGATTCTTCGCGACATAGTCGGAGGCGCACCTAGTTTCAATACACAGAATTGGTTGCAGTTTCGTCACCTTATTATTTTATTTACTAGCTTTCGTCGTAACTTCGTCCAAGTTGAATCGTTATTTCTTTTTAACATTAAACATAAATATAATTTCCACATCTGTTTATGAAATTATCAGAAACAAACAGACAGAAAAAATCCTTCTATTTATTTTATAACAGATATCGTAAGAATAGCCTCCGACTGGTGATGGTCTACTATTCTGCAGCTTTCTCCAGCATTTTCGGCGTCACAATCTCCGCTGAGAAGAATCAGCTACCTCTGAGAGCCTGGTCGGTGCTTACATTATAACAACAATATCATTTTTGTGTTAACTGATCAGCATACAACAGACTCATTTGTAAAAATGTCTAGAGCTTTCTATTACCTACTTCTAATATATTTTTTCATAAGGTACCCCTTTGATGCAACTAAGAGGCCAGTGTACCAATGGACTTATGCTCATCAAGTTTGTGGGATTTTTACAATTTTAATTGTAGTTTAATGTTACACAATCAGTATTGACGATTCATATTTTCTAGATCATTGCGTTAAGTATCGCTGCTGGTGTAAATTTGTGTTGCGACGTTTTAGCGTCGGCACTCATCGGTCAATGCCGCTGCAGAATGCGGCTGATAGCTGACTCTTTGAGAACTTTGTGTGATGACGTCGAAGTCGATAAAAAGGTTTGTTTTATTTGAAAACAAGACATTCTGCTTGCTTGGAAGATTAAGAAGATTTTGTGATCAGAAGAAATACATACTAAAAGTAAACGATAAAGTTAGAACATATTTTTGGTGGTCACAGACAAGATTTATTTATCTCTCAAAAAAAGACAGTGAAGAGAACAAATTAAGCCGATTAGACTAGCAATTAACCAGTATCTAAATTTTTTTGTTACAAAGCAGTCTTCTTATCTTAATTAATTGATTGTAACTTGGTAGGGTCGTGTAACGGCAGAAGGTGAGAAGGTTCTCAAGAACCGCGTCCGTAGTATTGCGATGCGTCACCAGCTTGTGTTGGAGCAGGTAAAACAACTTCAGCAGTGCTTCTCCATACCAATACTAGTGCAATTCGCTGTCGCCGCCTTTATAATATGCGTGACTGCCTACCGCATGGCATTCGTAAGTTAAATTTGTCAATTATACTAAATACCTATTAGAAATTTGTATATATTTATGTTGCTTGTTCTTATTACTTACGCATATTGCTTAAAAATCTTGAGAGAAATCTTCATGAAATTTCAATATAAGTATTAAAGACGACGCTATTTGATTTGGTTGAATTTTTGCTCTTTATAATGTTCTTTTGTTTAGGAGAACAGCTTTTATCGTCTAATGTCTATGATCATATATATAATAGTGATAACGATGCAAGTGTACATCTACTGTGTCGAAGGAAACAATCTCACTATAGACGTAAGTATCAACTACCATTACAGTAAAAGCGATAGTAATTAAATGGTTAAACTTTTCTACGATCATTTGAATTCCTTGATTAGTACAAATTTTTGGGTTTATTAAATTTCTAAAACAGTAAGTAATTTAGTCACGTCTAATCTCAAGACCTAACCTATTTAAAACTACTAAATGAACAGATTATTTTTTTACGCATTGTTTCCATACTTGTGATGGATCCTGGTGATTTCTACACCTCCAGAGTTACGAAATCTCGAGAGCAGCCTACGAGTGTCCCTGGTACGAGTGTTCTGTACCCCTCCGCAGACTCCTACTCGTGATTATGATAAGATGTACGAGACCCACTATAATCACTGCTGGTGGAATCGTGGAACTATCTTTGGACACATTTGTGTCTGTACGTGACTTTGAGATATACTCACTACCATAGATTATTATTATAATGTTTTATTGCATTTATCATGTTACGATAAAGCCAAAGCAAATAAAATATGCCTAATGCAATAATATTTTTTTGCAGATTATGAAAGCCTCTTACACGTTTTTCACGGTTTTACAAAGTACAGGAGATTTGTAACCTACAGTAGCTCGTATTGTGTTATTATTTATTTCAATAAATATAAATATCTTTGGAAAGCACCTCTAAATCAAATCTTGATACACAATATATTTTTGTTTGAAATACAGATTTTTTTTATGTTATGCAATTGTTGCGAAATAAATATAAAATAATACTTTGAAATGTACATCTTTTTTAGCTATAACAGAAAATAAACACCAAATGTCAAATTTATGACATTTCCAGTGATGTATAAAGAAAGGCAACTGATTAAGTAAACTGAAAGTTTATCAACTGCATAAATGTTTTAGAAATAATTATTAGCGGTGAGCCTAGCTGTGGTCAGTTACTACAGTTCGATCATGGGCAAGCTCTCACAGGAGATCGGCGTGAAGTAGCCTTTAGTGGCTGCGTTTCGTCCGATGAGTGAGAGAGCAGTTGCCCTTTCCCTTTTCCCACCCTTTCCTGCCATTTCCTTATTCCTACCCCTTCCTTTTCTTCAACAATCAAAGTTGGCAATACTTTCACAACATCTACATTATGGATGTCCACGGTGGACGGTGACTATTGCCCACCAAGTAGGCCGTCTGCTCGTTTGCCACCTTTCTCAAAAAAATATATAAATGAAAAATGTTTTATATTTTATTAATTTCTGTTCACGACTTAATAATTTTCCTTAAAATACTGGGACAACAACTAAATCTGTTTGTTAGAGGCGTTGTATGTTTTAAGTAAAGAGTTATTATAGATTTTTATCTTTTGTCGTTATAGTAAGGATAAAAAATATAATTTTTGAGAACATATAAATTACGTGTTCACACGGGATGTGACCAATAGCGAGCGAACACAACTATGAGAGGAACTGCCGACATTTACTTATTTAAATGTTTATTATTGCATTAGTTTGAGTTGTAGTTGACTTTACGTTTACCGTTTTGCGAGTTAAAATATTTATTTAGCGTTAAAATATTTGCATTTCAATATATATATGTAAGAAACACATTTCTTTACATTTGCCTCGTCCTCTTTTTAACCCGTTTTTTAATGTTTAATTATTTACAATTAAAAGCATATTATTTCATGGATTAAGTATTTCCTTACATCTACTACCTATATTTTCAATTTCTTATTTCTTATCTCGATCTTTAAAGTTTTGGTGTGAATTTTTTTATTCATTCTTAGTGCGGTAATAGTAAGATGTTGTTAATTATCTCATTGTTGTTTATGTCGAGTGTCGTGGTCAGTAAGGATGAGTGTTACTGGAATAGACAGTGCAAGTATTAATTAAATGAAACCAATATTTTTCGGATGTACTTCTACGATTTTTAGTTTTATCAATAAACTACATACTCCCGACGTTTCGGTTACTTTACAGTTTACAGCAACTGTGATCACGGGCAGACGAGATGTGAATGTCATGTCTTAAAAAATAATATGAAAATTATAAATTATAGTATGAAAGTACAATAATATATAAATATATTCTTAATATTACAAATTGTTCTATCATTTATAAAATTGCTAAAAGCTTAAGAATATTAATTAAACTCAGAAAATTAATTTTCCCTTATATAGGTTTTATTTAATGGGTTAGAAACATTACTTTTATCGCAATCATTATAAAACTATACTTTATAACTATGTCTTTTAATTATTTCTATAAAATTATTTGAATTTAGAATAATTCAATGTATATTTATGCATTTTTTTCTCTCAAAGTTGCATATCTTCTTTAAACTGGCAATTTCCCAGCTTTAGCCAGGATCTGAACATGTTGTAAATAGTTTTGGCTAACTGTTTTTTACGACCGGCCGTCTGCCTGACATCAACCCTCTTTTGGGAATGCATTTATCAGAGATGTCTAAATACTCTTAGAAAGTACATATGACTCGGAAAAAACACATAGGTTGTATTGGCCGGGACAGGATCGAACCCGCGTCCTCGGCAACGAGAGACGGGCCCTTTAACCACTAGGCCACCACTCAAAGTTGCATATACATTTCAAAAATTTTTCGTATATTATCTATCACGGATACAACAAAAAATCAATTAATTAAAATATACTGTTTAGATTCACATTAACTTATAACCTAAAAATTATTCACTTTTGTATAAAAATCATTTATAATAACACTAATAATTATAAAATAGAACTGATTAACGACATTCCTTCAAATATATTTTTTAAGAATTATGATAAAGTATGTTATAATTTGTACCTACATTAAAAAACTAAATAATTTTTGAGTCGATTAATTTTAAATTTACTTTAATTGCGTATATTTCCCTATTTATTATACTCTAAGTTTATCTGAATGAGGAGAATAAAAGTGCTCAAAAATTACTTACGCTTATTCTAACAATAAAACAGCTAGAATCTTCAGAAATCAACAAGTTATATTCTTACTCATGACTGTCATTACTGCCGTCGGCTGGGTGATTAGCTCTGATAAGAAGAGACTCCATCTACCGGCTTGGTATACACTAACAATATATTGAGTTACAGTAAAATAGGTTTTTATATGTATGTACTTTGTAAATTCTCCGTAAAAATCGGATTCATCGGTCAGCGGATTGAGCATTTTACGAAATAATAATCACTGGTCTTAACTTAATGGTTTCATATGAAAGTGCATACAGTACATATTCTACACACGAAATACAAACCAAATTAAAGTAAATTGAACAGTATGATAACTCCAAGTTTGCATCGTCACACTACATACGATGTGTTTTCAGTTTCTAATTCAATATAATAATGTTTGAATGCTAACATTTAACGCTCAGTATTTAGTACGAGTAGGAAGGATATTATGACGATTACAACTTTTTGAATCGTTATATCTCAAAAACGGTGGCTAGTAGAAAAAAAGTATTCATTAAATCTTTGTAGATAATTTTATGATATACAATTTTTGCCTGAGATAGTTTTACGATAAAATTTACCGCTTTGCTGAAAATCGCGAAAAACTCATTTTGTTTACCTTTCACCTTGAATAAAATTTTTCCTTATAGGGGAAAGATGGGGAACTTGCAAATTTTGTTTTTAATGATATTTCAAACAATATTAACGATTTTCAGCTTGGTGGGAATTTAGGTGACCTCGAATGTCTAATTTGACCGGACTATATCTAATTTTTTCATTAACAGTTACCTAAATTGGATAATCTTACAAGGTTTCACAATTAAAACTTTAAATATATATTTTTAAACTAGAATTACGATTGTCTTTCACTCGGAGTCTTGATGTGCTATTTGTCTTGAGAGGAATACGGTGGAGAGTGGTTACAATGCTTTTGGTCCATCTGGACTATTCTTTGGTAAAGTTGTAGAAACGTCAAATAATATCTTTTATAGTATACAATTATATAAACTATTTGAGGCTAAGTGTCGTTGATACTACACGTTTTTTTATTATTTTATAAATCTATATATTCTCTTTGAGATGAATGTGTTTGCCTTCATCACGGTTGCTGTGTAGGAAGCGAATAGAATGGCGACATTATACATATAACAACATTCTAAAGAAATAAATGATTTAGAAATATGCCACGACAAGTTGGTACAATTTAGGCAAAAAAAAATTGGCCTTTTTTAAAATAATACATTAATAATGCTTGCACTATTAAAATTATAATTTGAATTAAACTTGGATCTGTTTGTCATGAATTAATTAAAGATATTTTTAATAGACATTTATGAATATTCGTATATGTACATATAATATATATTTTCTTCTTGATTGATTTTAGTATTACACATAATGCATTTTTTTTTGAAATAACTATAATAAAATAAAATATTGTTTTTAATTTCATTTTGTGATATTTTAAAACTTTGTGTTATATTGAAATATTAAATTGTATTTTCTATAATAATGTTACGAGTTATGTCAATGTTAGTGATTATTATGTAATGTTCTATTGAATTTATTATAATTGTTTTTTTTTTAATTTAAATCTTGATATACGACAATTATTATATTTTGCATGATGTGATAGCCCATAATTAAAAGGACATTTAAGTTATTATTAATAGTTTGATAATGTAATGAATGTAATAATGTTTTCTTTTGTTGGTTATCCAAATAAAATAAAAAAGTAAAAATAATGAACATAAAAAAATCTTTATGTATAATACAACGTTTGCAATTTTATTCAAAAAACACTAAATAGGAGTATCTATACTATAATATATAACGTTCAAGAAACAAGTGTCAAACTGCAATCGTAACACACGTCGACCTAGTTTTCTCGTTCTACTTTTTTTTTTATGGGAAAAGGGGGCAACTGAGCAGACGGCCTACTTGCTGATAGGTAGTTACCGTCGCCCATGGACATCCGCAACGTAGATTTGCGGATGTGTTGCCGCCCTTGATTGGGGAAAAGGAGGAGGAAAAGGTGGGAAAGGGAGGGAAAGGAAAGGTTGGGAAAAGGGAAAGGGCAACCGGCTCTCTCACTCACCGGACGAAACGCAGCCTTTAAAGACTACTTTACGCCGATTTTCTGTGAGAGGATGGTACTTCCCCGGTCGAGCCAGCCCATGTTCGAGCTGTAGTAAATTGACTACAGCTAGGCTCTGCCACCTCTACCCAAGATTCGTACAAATTACGGTAAAACAATGATAACCTTTGAAGGTGCAAAACTGTATAATAAACTACCCACAGTAATAAAAAATGTAAACTCATTTAACGTATTTAAAAAAGAACTTGCTGAGTATATTTTAAATAATAAATAATTAAAACCATTATAGTATGTCAATATCGAAAGGAAATGCGTTTATGTTTTAATATTATATTTAATTAATTTCAGCAAACGAGTAACCTTGTGAGGTGTTTATCAATGAGCACGTATCTCTTGAATATGATTATACAAGTGTTCCTATATTGTTATCAAGGACACTACTTGACGGTGGAGGTATGTACTATATTGTATTACTATTATATTTATAATTTATTTTGATTCAAACACCGAATAAAAAAGAAACAAAGAACATTAAATAATGTAGAAATAAAAGTGACACTAAAGGTATTCTTAAAGAAAAAAAATATATTTGTTGTTTGTAAAGTAGGTTTACGATCGAGATGTTTACGTGATAACGTCTTATTGGTGATATAAGTTTTTGGGAAGTAAAACATTCAACGAAAACTTAACCGCACGAGAAAATCTCCATTCGTTTGTATGCCGCTAGAGTGAGAGAGACGGAAGATCGGTCCAGTCACTCAAACGCTATGCCTGCCTCCGCTCGTGAGGATTCCGCGTGACAAGTTTCACGGAATGACTAGCAGCGCTCGAGATGAGTCGGGAGATCGGTCCGTCTCTCTCTCGTTATATGTACCTGCGATCGCGCTCCTGAGGTTTTGGTGTGACACAAGTTTCTGAACATGTCACCCGATTAAAATGATTTTAAAATGTTGATTTCTTCCAAAGAAACGTAGGTTTAGAGTTTTTTTTTGATAGTGATAACGGTAACTGGTGAAACATATTAAGAAAAATAATACATATATAAAAACATACATATGTTATTCTGTATATATATAAAATAATACAAATCTATATATAAATATATGTACATGGCTAATATGTTCATGTGTTCTCTGTGTCAGAAGAGGCTTTTGCTGAGTAGTGGGCTCCGATAGGCTCCTATAGGCTCTAATAGTGATGATGATGATGAAACAAAGTATTTGTTACTCATATTATTTGTTTGTAAAACTATCTCAATACTGATACCGTAACTTAATGAAGAGGTCTATAAAATTCATTCTTCTAGGTGTGACCACGAGACCAGAAATCAACAAGTTATATTCCTGCTCATGACTTTCGTTACTACCATCGGCTGGGCGACCATCACTGACAAGAATGGACTCCCTCTACCGGCTTGGTATACAATAACATTATATGTATTATCATTCACTTAATTATGTATTATTTTTTAAGAAGGCACTTTTGTTTAAGACTTTTGTTGCGTGAGCGTGATGCTTTAATGTTACTTGGTTACTTCAATATGAACTCATAATAATGTAAAGTTGAAATGGAAAACAGGTTTTTAACATGTTAAAATATAACTATTATTGTACAAGACGTCACAACGTATAATCTCTTATATCTCTAAAATAAATTATTGTTTGTAAGTTACCAACAACCCAGTATTGTAATTTATTTAATTTGTATAAATCGTTTTTGTATTTAACTTGCGTATGAATCATTATAATCAGCCTATCGGTTCCCGAGGAAAGTCCTCTCCTCAAACGGAGGAGATTTGAGTATTAATCACCACGCTTGCTCAAGGCGGGATGGCGAATTCAAAATTATAATTTGAAATTTTAAATTCAGGTTTCCACACGTTTTCTTCCTTATTTAATACTACAAGTAATGATAATTTCTGACATTTTTATATCTTTTAGACGCACTTGTTCCTATTATGTGTCTTCACAGCTGTTAATAGAACCTCACTGAATATAATTTTCCTTCAGGTACCCTTACAACACGAGCATCTCTCCCGCCTACGAGCTGACCTACATGCACCAAACGTTGAGCATCATGATAGTGGCTGTACTGAACATCAGTAAGGATAGCATGCTTTAAAAGACAGTGTATAAAACTTAATATCAAGTTTAAGAGTCAGTGTGTCAGTACATTTGGTAGCATGATTAAGTTTATTTCAAACAGTAAAATGAAAGGTGTATAAAAGTTATAAAATTTTTAAATGGTTACTTATACATTTATCATGCTTCATAAATACTAAATGTATATTTGTACAGCGTCACCTATCATGATTATTAAGACTTCAACACTAGTAGGAAAACTACCGGCCGAGTGGCATGGAAAAAAAAGCTCCGGAGATGTTAGTAGTTATACTATTTTCATCTAGATGGCGCTGAATGCATTAATAAAATAAATTTTGCGAAACATGTCGTAGTTATCAGTCTTATTTACTTATAAAAGAAAGTAAATTTACTGACGTAAGTATATTTAACTAATATATTTTTATAGGAAGACTACAAATATTATGGCGGGACTGCTAACAAGCTGTTCACATCGAAACGAGAAGCGATAGTAAAGAATCGTCAGCGCATATATGTTCCTCAACACCAGAGGGCGCTACGGGCTGCTGAAATACTGCAAAATGCAAAATGAGTTGCCGTGGTTCATGATACGCTGTCACCGCATCGTCAAGTTCACGGCGGGAGGATTCACGACGCTGTCTCTCGCCACCTTGACTGCTGTACGAGTTTGATGCTTCACTTATGTTCACGATAGGATACAGTATATTATACACGTGAAAAGTAAACAGCTATTCAATATTATCATTTCGAATCTGTTACGGAACTCACATGTGTTAGCTTATAATGTCAAGTTTTATAGTAGTTTTATACGAGATAAACTAGTAGCTTCTTCTTCTTCTTCTTCTTCTTCTACCTGGCAATTTCCCAGCTATAGCCAGGGTCTGCCTTACATGTTGTGAATAGTTTTTGGCGATTTGTTTTTACGACCGGCCGCCTGCCTGACATCAACCCTTTTTTGGGAATCAACATTAATCAGTGATGTCTACATACTCTTAGAAAGTACATATGATTCGGAAAAATCACATTGGTACTTGCCCGGGCCGGGATCGAACCCGCGCCCTCGGCGACGAGAGGCCGAGAGGCGGACCCTTTAACCACTGAGCCACCACTGACTAAACTAGTAGCTTCTGTGGCGTAATAATTCTTGAATTTAATTTTCAGGTTATAAAATTATCTTACTCAATGCTGACGATACTACAACAAGTCAACGAAAAACACTAAAAATGCTCAGGCAGTTGTTGAAATACACATAAAATATAATGTATAAGAGATTACCGGTTATCAATATACGAGTAATAATAATTCTGCTGTTTTATTTATTATAATTTTTTTATGAGAAAGGTGTCAATCGAGCAGAAGGCCTACTTGATGGACAGCAGTCACCGTCGCCCATAACCATCTGCAACATAAGAGATGTTGCGGTTGCGTTGCGTTGCGAGGAGAGTTTGAGGATAAAGAGATGTCAGAAAAAGTAAAAAATATTAAAGGGCAACCGGTTCCTTCACTCATCAAACAAAAAGCAGCCATTAAAGCCTTCACGCCGATCTTCTGTGAGAGGGTGGTTCTTCCCCGGTCGAGCCAGCCCATTGTTGAGCTGTATTTATTTTCCCACAGTAGGCTCTAGAAACCACCATAGAAACTTATTTAAAAACACTAAGAAAACTAACTTGAATACAAATAAACATTAAATTTTAAATGTACAAGTGAAAATTCATGCATTTTCTTATATAATTATATAATTACCTGTAAGTGCATTTTATTACAAATTGTTGTCAATTTATAATTAAACGTTGACGTGTGTTATATACGAGGTGGTATAATTAGCTTAATGATGTAATTACGTACTACTATTAAAAATAAATAAATATTCATAGTCATACATCGCAAACTTTGGTTTATATCTGACGTAATTCTATTTCACTTACTTTGAATCGACAAGTTCTGAATTGATGATTTCAATGATTTTTTATAGTTCAAGACAACGGGGAAGTTTGTAGACTATGCAACTGCAATATATTGACGTAGATAATTCATTTAAGACTCGAGTAAATAAAAGGGTTCACAACTCCTGATCCTTTATGGACAATAGCCACTTGAAGGTATAAAACGGTTTTTTCTGAACTCAATTTATTTTTGATTGTAAACGAATATGTCGCTGTTCAAGAATATTGACTCATCTTTGAAGTTCTGTAATGTTATTTTTACTGTTTTTGGCGTATGGCCGCCTCCTGGCCTAAACGACCTCAGGAGACGTTTGTACACGTTGTATTCTTTTCTTTTACTGTTTCTAACTCTTGGTAAGTAATAAGTGTAGGTAAGAACAGAATGAAATCAAAACAAGCTGGCGTTATGTAGTATTAATAATAGGTCGTCCTTGTTTTTTAAATATTAATTCTAACAGACGTATTACTATGACAAATTGGTATGAAAGTGTTATTAACATTTCTGTTAAACATCTATTATCATATAAAGGGTTTTTAATAATAATGATACATTACGGAATGCTTAAAATTTTGTCGAGGAAAGTCTTTCGATTTAATGGAAACACGCTTTGGACAAATAAAAACCCCATCCTTTACGAAACAATAAATGCTTATGTCTCTGAGATTATGATTAGTTAACAAATATTTCAAGATGTAAATGTTGATGTTGACAATGACTTACTTGACAGAGATTCTCCTCGCATTCTGACTATATGACTGAAAATCTATACAGGTCGTTTAAAGGATATTAAGTTAGATAAAACAATACGTTTTTTTATAAATGCATTATGTATTAGGTGTGTACATAATAATGCAAACTGGAGATTTGGTCCAGGTGTGGGGCGATATTACTCTCATGACAGCTTCTGTTTTCATCCTCTTTACAAACATCGCTTTTGTTATTAAGGTAACGTAAATAATACATATACAAAGAGATATGCCTATTACTATATGATCATAGATTAGTCTAATAATATGTATTGCGTTCGTAGTAGTTTAACGAATAAATATATGACTTGCCATTTATATTTCAGCTCGCTTATGTTATTCAAAAAAGAGAGTTGATTCAAAAAATTATTTTTGACGGAGACAATGATCTGGACGGTCAAAATACCAAATTTGCGATTCAAACAGTTAAAAGGTTTTTACTTTTATATTATTTAACTTTATGTTAACACCTGTAAATGTAGAACAATGTTACATGTATCCTTTTTGTAATTTATTAAATAAATAAATAAATGTATGTGTAAAAAAGCTAGAAGAATTAAGAGCTAGAAATAATGTATGATTCTGTATATGGAAAATTATGTTATGTCAGATGATCAAACAATTTTCAGTGGTAAGTTCCTTTTTTTTCAACACAGCTGCCATTCATTCAAGGTAAACAATTCATTCAGAATTGATTGTTAATGATTTTGTTCTTTACTCCTGAAGATATCAATTAAATCTGTGTAAATCTGTGTAAATCACATCAATTCCTAGTAATACACCATCCATCTATTACGTTCACGCCTTCGACGCTGAACCGATTTTGATGAATCTTGATATAGAGATAGATGGAACTGTGTAGAAGCATGAAGGCTACCTTTTATCCCAATTACGAACCCTGGTCTCGAAATTACGTGGGTTAAGTTGTGCACCATATTTTTGTATCGTAACACCTATCCATACGTCAAATAAATAATTATTAGCTTTCAATTCTACGTCGAAAAGGTCGCGGGTATCAGCGTTTTCAAACAAAATAAGATTTGTAGGTGGTAAGAGCCTAGCTGTGGTCAAGTTACTTCAGCTCGAAGATAGGCTGGCTCGACCGGGGAAGTACCACCCTCTCACATAAGATCGGCGTGAAGTAGTCTTTAAAGGCTGCGTTTAGTCCAATGAGTCAGAGAGCTGGTTACCTTTCCCTTTGACCACCCTTTCCTAACCCTTCCCTTTCCCACTTTCCTCCCCCTCTTCCCTAATCAAATTGGCGATGGTACTATCTCCAACAGGTAGGCCGTCTGCTCGGTTGCCCCTTTAACATAAAAAATAAATAAATAAGAAGATTTTGATGAACTACTCACTGGCAGATAGTTGATGTAATAAAGAGTAGTTTAGGAACTTGCATTTTAGAAACGTCCTGCCAAATTCTACGCGACAAAGGACTTTTAGTATTCAATAAACAGAATTGGTTGCAGTTACGTTATCATATACATAGCCTAGCCATAAATATTGTTACAAATAAAAAATATTTTTTAAATATAAATTTAAGACATAAAAAGCTTATTCCAAGTGGTCTCCATTGGCTGCAATACAGTCCTTTAAACCTTGAGGCCAGTTATCAATAAAAGCACGCACTCTTTCCATGGGAAAATTCTTCACTGTCAATCGAGTGGATTATTTTAGGGAGTCCAAATTATCATGGCGTTTAGAGCAAACCCTATTCTCTAAAACTGACCATAAATCATAATCCAGCGGATTAAGATCGGGACTAGACGACGGCCTGTCTTTAGCTCTTCAAAAATAAGGCTCAGTCACTCCTTCATAGCTAACACCCCACCAAACCATCACTGAAGTCCGATGATGCCCACATTGCACTTTGTCGACTAATTGAGAAGCTTCCTTAGAGTTTGAGTATAAATAAGGTAATTTCGTTTATTAAAATGTTGCTCTATTGTAAAAAAAATTTCATCCGTAAACAATATTTTTTTGTGACCTTCCTTTGCACACCGCTTCAGTAGTTGTTTAGATTTCATCACCCTTTTCTTTTTTAAATTATCATTTAAAAAATGTCCAGTGCGTCTCTTATAGGCTGCAAGTCCTAAGTCATCTATTAAAGTACGCGACATGGTTCTAGGTGCTAACTTCATCTCCCGAGATAAAATCTTTTGCTTTCGGACAGGATTTCTTCGAATTCTTTCCCTAACTGCTTTTACCGCCTTTTTCGTACGAACACTACGTGGACGGCCAGATCTTTTTCTATCACAAACAGAGGATACCTATACCTATTAATAGCCTGGTAAACAAACATTTGACTAATGCCAAGCGTGTGGAGAGGTTTTAAAACTGCATTTGGCTCCATACCCACTTTGTGTAATGAAATCACAGCTATTCGGTTCTCTTGATCACCCCACTCCATTTTAATATCGCAAAATACTGAACAATGTATAACCATATGGTACCAGAGTAAGAAAACAATGCAAAAATATATAAAAATGACAGATTCCAAATTCAAACGTAATATTTTGTTTATTTTTAATTGTTACAGTATTTATAGGCAGACTATGTATATAATTTACTAGCTTTGAGTGCCTTTCAAGAGGATTTGGAGTTATTTATTTTTAATTTTAATAAAATAACAGGCAAACAGGCAGAACAAAAAAAAATGCTCTCTATTTATTTTATAACAGATATCGTAAGGACACCATTCGACTAGTGATCGTCTACTATTCTTCAGCTTTCTCCAGCGTTTTTGGCATTACGTTGTCCGCTGAGAAGGATCAGCTACCTCTGAGAGCCTGGTGGGTGCTTATTACAAGTGCTATATAATTTTTTTACTAACATATCAGCATACAACAGTCTCATTTGTAAAAATGTCTAGAGCTTTCTACTATTTGTAATATATTTTTTCAAAAGGTACCCCTTTGATGCAACTAAGAGGCCAGCGTACCAATGGACTTATGCTCATCAAGTTTGTGGGATTTTATACAATTTTGTATTTAGTTTAGTGTAAAACAATCAGTATCGAGGATTTATATTTTCTAGATTATTGCATTAAGCATTGCTGCTGCTGTAAATTTGTGTTGCGACTTGATAGCGACGGCACTGATCGCTCAATGCCGCTGCCGATTGCGGCTGATAGCTGACTCGTTGAGAACTCTGTGCGATGATGTCGAAGTGGATAAAAAGGTTTGTTTTACTTGAAAACGAGTCTTTCTGCTTGCTTGGCAGATTAAAAAGATTTTGTGATCAGATGAAATACATACTAAAAGTAAACGATAAAGTTAGAACATATTTTTGGTGGTCACAGACAAGATTTACTTATCTCTCAAAAAAAAGACAATGAAGAAAAAATTAAATCGATTAGACTAGTAATAAACAAGTATCTAATAATAATTGTTGAAAAGCAGTCTTCTTATCTTAATGAATTTAATGTAACTTGGTAGGGTCATGTAACGGCAGAAGGTGAGAAGGTTCTCAAGAACCGCGTCCGTAGTATCGCGATGCGTCACCAGCTCGTGTTGGAGCAGGTGAAACAACTTCAGCAGTGCTTCTCTATACCAATACTAGGGCAATTCGCTGTCGCCTCCTTTATAATATGCGTGACTGCCTACCAAATGGCATTCGTAAGTAAAATTTACAAATTATACTGAATACTCGTACGTATTTGAAATTCATATTTTAATATTGCTTGTGTATTCCATTCACATATTGCTCAAAAACCTTAAGAGAAATCTAGTTTGATTAACGTTAGAGTTATTTTCAGGGTGTTAAAGATACTATTTGATTTGATTGAATTTTTCTCTTCATAATGTAATAATTCTTTTGTTTAGGAGACAAATTTAAATCGTCTAATGGCTATGACCTCATATATAATAGCAATAACGATGCAAGTATACATCTACTGTGTCGAAGGAAACAATCTCACTATAGACGTAAGTATCAACTACCATTACAATAAAAGCGATAGTAATTAGATGGTAAAAATTTTCTACAATCATGTGATTTCGTTGATAAGCATAAATTAATTCTAAAATAGCAAGTAATTTAGCTATCCTGACTGTTTAAAAATACTAAATGAACACATTGTTTGCCTACGCCTTCCATCCTTGCGATGACTCCTGGTGATTTCTACACCTCCAGAGTTACCAAGTCTCGAGGGCAGCTTACGAGTGTCCCTGGTACGAGTGTTCTGTTTCCATCCGAAGACTCCTACTCGTGACTATGATAAGATGTGAGAGAGTCACTGTAATCACTGCTGGTGGAATCGTGGAACTATCTTTGGACACATTTGTGTCTGTACGTGACCATGAGATATACTCACTATCATATATGTATTATTAATATAATGTTTTAATACCTTTATCATTTTACGATAAAGCCAAAGCAAATAAAATATGCTTAATGCAATAATATTTTTTTGCAGATTATGAAAGCCTCTTACACGTTTTTCACGGTTTTACAAAGTACAGGAGATTTGTAACCTACAGTAGCTTGTATTGTGTTATTATTTATTTCGATTAAATAAAAAATATCTTTGAAAAGCACCTCTAGTCAAATCTTGATACACAATATATTTTTGTTTGAAATAAGGTTTATTAATGTTATGCAACCTTATTATAAAGCCTTTTTGAAAATATTAATATTTTTTATACATTTTTACCTATCACTACCATGAGATTCCTTTCATACCGTAAAAATCAAAATTATAAAATAAAAATCGACATTTATAACGGCAAATGTTAATGACGGATAATTAAAACAAGACGGATATCAAGCTAGAAGGCACAAGAAAAATGAAATTGTTCTAACAAATATAATATAATAATCTGTATGCTTAATTTCTCTCATAGAAGATCGGCGTGAAGTAGCTTTTAATAACTGCGTTTCGTCCCATGAGTGAGAGAGCCAGTTGCCCTTTCCCTTTTAGCACCCTTTCCTGCCATTTCCTTATTTCTACCCCTTCCTTTTCCTCAACAATCAAAGTTGACAATGCTTTCACAACATCTACATTATGGATGTCCACGATGGACGGTGACTATTGCCCCCCAAGTAGGCCATCTGTTCGTTTGCCACCTTCCTCAAAAAAATATATAATAACATTTATATAAAAGTTTCTGTGGAAGTTGAAAAATCAAAAGTATGAAGTATAACTTTATTAGTGACGTAATCATTACGAGAGCGCTTTATTTGATTGCTTGATCAAACACACACACACGGATTGAATAATTTTGACTTATTAAGCAATTGGAGGACTAATGAAATTCATAAAAAATATCCATTTTAATAATTATTCCTACAAAAACTGATTCTATTTTATATTCCTGTTATATTTTTTATATAATAATTTATCTTCATTGGATCAATAAATTAATCATATAAATTGATGTAATATGATTTACGATGATATCACATTGAAAATGTTGTGGAATACATTTATTACTTATATGAGACTCACGGAACATGAACGTGTCTTTCACGATACAATTGAAGACCATAATCTCATATCTAGACTTATTGAAACTAAATTTCCGATATAGATAACGTCACTGTAATATAGGTTGCTCCTTATACTCTTATAATAAATAAAGAAAACGTTTAATACTTTTTTTATTTCTGGTCAACGTAATAATTTTCGTTAAAATACTGCGATAATAACTAAGTCTCCTTGTTAAAGGCATTGTATGTTTGAAAGTAATGAGCTATAATAGTTTTTTTCTGTTTATTGTTATAGTGAGGATAAAAAATATAATTTCTGAGAACATGTAAATTATCTGTTCACACGGGATGTGACCAATAGCGAGCGAACACAACTATGAGAGGAACTGCCGACATTTACTTATTTAAATGATTATTATTGCATTAGTTTGAGTTGTAGTTGACTTTATGTTTAACGTTTTGCGAATATTAGCGTTGAAATATTTGCATACTAATATATCTAAAAAACACATTTCTTTACATTTGCCTCGTTCTCTTTTTAACCCGTTTTTTAATGGTTAATTATACACAATTAACAGCATATTACATATTTCGTGGATTAAGTATTTCTTTACATCTACTATCTATATTTTCAATTTCTTATCTCGACCTAGTCTTTAAAGTTATGATGTGAATTTTTTTATTCATTCTTAGTGCGGTAATATGTAGTAAGATGTTGTTAATTATCTCATTGTTGTTTATGTCGAGTGTCGTGGTCAGTAAAGATGAGTGTTACTGGAATAGACAGTGCAAGTATCAGTTATTTTCGACGACTACACCTTATGATACCGTACGAGGGGACATTCGTGACCAGCCCAACCCTGACGGTCAGTACAATTGCCTATAGTTATCGAAGTTCTAACAGATATATTTAAAATATTCACAGTGATGAGTAATGATGATCATAGTCTAAAGTAATGACTCATTGAAGTATATTATAACTTTATGGGTTTTTTATAAGGTTTTTATTTATCCTCCTAAACATTATTAAACACAAAAATTGTAGAAACTGTAATTCTAGCGTTCTATCTCCTATTGACTTTAATTTATTAATGACGATAATTTAATATGATCTTCGCACACGTCAGAAATAAATGTGAATGTTGGTTTGTTCTATGGTTTAGTTCTCAATAACAATCCTTGACTATACATAGTATACATAATCTTTATAATAATAAGTAATTGTTTATCTTATAAATAAGTATATTCCTTACCTATTTCAGGTTGTAAGGTCGTGAGTTTGTGGTCGATACATCGACACGGGAACCGTCACCCGGGAAGCAGGGTCATAAAGGAGACAAACCAATTATGGGTCAAGTTGAGAGAACAACTTATAAGAAGTGCGGAAGAATCAAGGAACTCACTTTGCTCACAGGTAAATAAAAAGAGAATTATTATTGTATTATATGTAACAAAAAACCGCAATCCACTACATCATTTATGATTATCAATTAAAATGCTATTTATGTTTAAAATACTAACTATACATGAAGAACATTTTTTATGGACAACACATTTTCTAGGACTTGGAAGATATATTAAATTGGAAATGGGATTCTTCACTTGACACTGCACCATCTTATCTGACGCAAGTGGGTCACGATGAAATATACTCGATAGGAAAAAGATTAGCGAAAAAATACAGCGAACTGATGGACGATACGATTGACCGATATTATTTCAGAGGAACTAACGAACAACGTACTAAAGCAAGTGTTCTAGCGTACGTGAATGGACTAACTCAAGGTTCAGACATGAACCTCACTTCACGGATAGAAGAGTCTAGGGAACAAGATGACGTTATCAGAGTGAGTCACAATATTTATAATTGCTGCTAGTAATCATAAGTTAGCTTATTTATAGCTAATGGACAATACTTTTGAATATGACGTATTTGATTGACCTAAACGTGCTTTCAATTTCATTTAGCCTTACGAAAACTGTGATCGCTACCAGGAGTCAGTTAAGAATGGATCCCTATTGCCAGATCAATTGACTGAGTATGATCAAAGTCCCGAGTATTTAGCTGTAAGTAAATGAAAATAATAACCCACATTATATATAACACGAAGACGTGAGAAACTAGTTTAGTTTATTTAAACTATTATATGTAAATTGCGTCATTCTAATCTAGGTCAGAGACAGAGTTTTCAAGCGACTAGGTATAACAAATACCACAGAAGATATAAACGTATTCAATCTTTACGAGCTATGTCGGTTCTATCGGACCTGGAGTCCTGATTTGCAGTGTCCATGGTGCTCGCTCTTCTCCGATGAAGACCTCGTTGTGTTGGAGTACAGAGATGATGTACGGCATTATTACAAAAACGGATACGGGTTTGATGTAAGCACAATCACATTGTTATATTTACAACTCCTAATAAATAAACAAATATTTTTCGGATTTTATTATTTTAAAAACTACACATTCCCGAAATTTCAGCTACTTTTCAGCGTTATCACGGGCAGACGAAATGTGAATATCATGTCTAAGAAGTAACCGAAACGTCGGGAGTATGTAGTTTTCAAAAATAATAAAATACGTGTAGTAATCCACGTATAAATAAAAAATATTAGTTCATTTAAATGAATACTAACTATAATCTTAGATCTTATTATACAAGTATTAAATTTTAATTGCGTTTTGAATGTTGGACTGTTCGTTTTTTTATAGATTAATGCAGATTTAGGTTCACTCCCACTGAAAGATTTATTTGAGAATTTTGAGTTAGCGACGAGAGGGGAGGGTAAGAACATAGTTTCATACTTCACCCACGACACTATGATGGAAATGATGTTCTGCGCTCTTGGGCTGTATAAAGACAAGAGCGTCATAACAGGATCTTCAAGAAATCCAGACAGATTATGGCGTGCAAGTTATATTGCATCGTTTTCTACGAATTTTGTCGCCGTCCTTCATAGGTAAGATACTTATATACAAAATATATAATTTTAAATCATATTGTATGTTACACTGTGTCCGACTAAATATGACTTGAAGATTTAAATATGTATATCGGATTTATTACAAATTCGTTGTTTTTGAAAAAAGAGTCGCCAGCCTCGCTGACGTCACTTATGTCAGTTCTTTCATGAACTTTCCATAATATTTAAAAATGAAACTTCAATTGTTCTTAATGTTCCTGTATTTCTCGAAGGTTCTTCATAATCACATACCTACTACAATGGTCCGCACTCACTGAATTCTGTCATATTTATACCAAAATTCAAACATAGTTCCATTCTCCTTTTAAACAGTCTTTGATTTCGTTTTACTTTTAATAATAATCATGAATGCTAATAAGTTTTTATAGTAATTGATGACAGGCTCAAGTTATTAATCATGTCGCATCTGTCAATAAAGCTGATAGCGCCGATATATACATATGTATGTTATACAAAATGTATCCATAAAACGGCGAGTTTATGGTGACGAACACATTTATTTATTAGTGTACTTTTAAAGTGGCACTTTAAACTAAGCATTGTACCTATATGTATGTATGTATGTACATACATGTGTATAACTTCACAGGCAAACGTGATAACATTATCGTAACCGCATCCGCGTAAACTCAGTTTATTGCAGACATTATATCGTGTTTCAATTTCAACTCTATTATCTAACATTTAAGTAACATTTTTATATTGATCGAATCCAAACATCGTCTAAAAGATTGGTATTTGAGTATTGGGTAATTGGTCTTGTGAACATTACCATGAAGATGCGTGAATATAGAGAAAGTTCATAAAATAACTGTATCGTTTGTTGTTCCAGATGTGAGTCAGATACTCATAGAGTCCAGTTATTCATCAATGAGAAGCCAACCAGTCTTTGTCCTGTCGAAGGCTGCTCGTGGTCACAGTTCGTCCAAATTTTCCAAAGATTCTCCAACTCATCACTGGCGTTTTGTACAAATAGACGCTCTGATGTCGATGAAGATGGCAGTAATTTAAGTAATACAGTTACAGTCTCCAAATTGTTGACCTCTCTTGTGATGTTGCTTCCATTGGTGCTTTCTGCTAGTTAAAATCAAATTTATTACACTTCACAATATTACAAAGTATTTTAAACAGTATTTTTTTATCTTACAAAGGAGTGTGACAATCGGGAGGTCCTTATCAATTGTTTTTATTGTAAGACTATTTCTTGGAAGTTCTAAGATTTCTCTAAATAAACGAACGCAATATTTTCATATAAAATTTAAATTATAACTTTTCCAATAGTTATTTTTAATGATTTTTTTATATGTTCTACTAGTACATCCATCTTTCCTCCATGAAGTAAAAATCTATATTTAGCAGATTCTATATAAAAGTAACATACCATAAATACTCAAGCGTGCTCAAGCTTGTAAATATTTTTGATATGATTCACAACACACTATTAGACACAAGAACAAGACGAGCACACTCAGAGTTTGGCAATCATCTTACATTTACTGTCATCACTCAGTATCAGATTCATCATCAGGGGGACCTAAATGTTTTGAAATGTAATAACCTCCTATAAATATACATGTGAAGTGTATTAATATTTCATGACTCACAGAAAATATAAACATAAATCTATTCATCACTAAATTAACAACAGTAATAAGAAATATAAGAGTGATCTCAATTAATAGTTTTGTTATAGAATCAAATGATGTCCAATTATTAAGATTTTGTACGATTACGTAAAATAAACTTTTTATCAAGTATTTAGCGTTTTATTCTGTGCCAAACTAAAAACATTATAGATGGAAGACTGCGATGAATATTGGTGCTTCAAATACTAAAGTGACTTTTGACTATTAACTTTATCCTGATGATATTAGTATATGGACATGTTTTATAATTGTCTATTAAATAGGAAAATTTTAACTTGAGTAGTAAACCACCAAAGAAATATTTGTTGAGTGTCATTATAAGAAATATTTGTTGAAAGTCACATTATAATTGAATTAGGACTTATTTTTGTTGTTTGAAATCAATACATTTCTATAATTGCTTACATTCCCAATTCATTCTAGAAGAAATTTCAGAGGAGAGAAGTATGAAAATAAAGTATTGGTTACGTACTAATGTCACAATAAATAAACTTTTTATTATAAATAGTCCCCATTGCAGAAGTCGGACGAGGCGTTGTTGAATTTCTGGAATTTATGTCTGAATTCCTCAAGGGAACATGTGCGGTCGCCGCAGAGATGTAGCTCTTTCTCGTTGACTAAGAACTGCACTCTATGTACAAACCCATTGTTGCTTTCACACCTACAATATATCGTATGAATTTAATCTCTCTTGTGACCTTGTACTATTTTGTAACCTAGTAACGAAAGTTTTTATTGACATCCATGCAGAGCTAGCCAAAGTTTTTCAAAAAGTTACACATTCTAATTACCATAAGTGTTATAATAAAATCACTAATAAGAAATAGAAATTCAAATTCTTCTAGTAACATATAGGCCGTGTAATATACGTTATATACAAGATACGCTCGTTTTATAACGCCAGGAAGTGTTCTAATTTAGCTCGGAGCTCGCGTCATAATATCATTTTCACCTGTGTAGAACGGCGACGAAATTAGCAGCAAATGGTGTCAAGAAACTTGTCCGCCACTGTCTATGTTTAACCCTCTCGAGACCGGATATTTTTGGGTAATCCATATAAAGTCCCATGGCCGTGTAAATCATATGCAGCATAGTATCATGAGTAAAGTAACCCGTCAACGTCTTCAAGCCCTCCTTAGAGGCTTTTTCAAACTTCTGATAAAGATCTTTCAGACCCAAAGCTCCTAGAAGAATGTTGGTAGAATGCCCGTAGCCATTCCTTTATATAAAATTGTATCAGTGCCTAATTAAATTTGTAAATAGGACGATCGATATAAATAAACAATCTATTATTTCTAAACATATGTATGTGTGATATATATCTGCAACAGATTTTAAGTAACTCAAACAAACAAAATCGGCTCAACGAGTGCAAAACATGTATTTTTTTAAAAGAATATCGTATGAAAAAACATCAAACCTGTAATAATGTGTGATATCCTCAACATATTCTAAGATCATAAGCTCATCGTCACTGAAAACCGCACACCAAGGGCTTCTCTTCAGAACAGAGTATGATCTATAGTTCCTACAGAGATTATATATACTGAGAATATTTTTAGGACTCAATTCAAAATCGAGACCTACTCGTCTTTGTACATTTGCTTGGAGCTGAAAATTACGAGATATGAAACAAAAAATTCTTTGAGTTTTCGTAATAGCTTACTAAAAATTACAAATAAACTAACTTAGAATTGAGGTCAACATAGTAAAGTTATAAATTTGGCGTTTAGATAGCGTGTAATAATTAGGTTACATAAATCTACCTGAATGTAATATTAAATTATTTTAAATCTAATGATTCCGTTATTATATCATAATTATTAACGAATTTCTTTTTCTTTGATTCTATATACTTATTTAATATCTTATTAGAAATCGAAATTTAACTCTACCTTTATCTCTTATTTTACATTTTACAATATAATTAGTATATTTTACTACTATGTATTTTTACAAAACAACATGAAAAAACATTGGTTCGATGAAATAAATGTTGTTGAGTATATTTTTTTTATATATTTTTAAACCATAATCTAATATAACCCACCTTCTTAAACTCTTTCGTCTCTGTATATTTTTGTATTTCTGATGCTATTCTAGTATTATTTAAAATTTCGTCCCACCTTTTTTGGCAATATCTGTAAGGCTAAACAATAATAATGAGTGTTTAATTATTTTCAGAAGTAATGTGAATGATATCGTTTATCGTGACTTAACAAAAAATATTATTAGATTGTTAACATTGTTAATATTAATAATTAATATTACTGACACTTACACGACTCAAATAATACATACCCTTGCTATAGGGTCGTCGGAAATAGGATCGTCAACAACAATAGGTTTTTTGATATTTTTCAAACCTTCAATAAAGGCTCTTGCACTTTTAATAGTTCTTTGTTCTTTAGTCGATCTGATGAGGGATACATCTAGGTTTTCCAATAATGATTGAAACTTTACAGAAAACCTATCTCCAAAATCCAATAATTCCCTGTAACCTTCTGGAGTTAGGTGGTAAATAGCTCTATCTAATTTTTCATTCCAGGTCCATGCCCGCAAATCTGCAATATCCTATGAAGAATTAGGTTTTTTAAAAACATGTTAAATTAATCATTAGAAGCATTTAAATATCTAATGGTGTACTGGCATTTCAATATGGACTATAAATATTTAGACAGGCTTAATTACTTTTTTGTGGCTTTTAATCTTTGAAGTTAACATTTCTATGTGATACCTGAGCACATAAGTCACCTCTTCCATCTTCATAATTATCCAAGATATCGTCCTTCAGGTCTAGAATGTCCTTCATGTCGTTCTTATCTTCTTGATCAGGGTGTCGAGCCCCATGCCGCGCCATGAACCAAATGCTTTCAGGTTTACAACCTATAGTTACGTGAAATTAAATCTAGTAGTTAAGTAGCCTTAATTTTGTTTAAGAGGTTTGAAAATATAGCTCCAATTGTGGCAAGGTGTCCCCTTTCCAAATGAGAGATTTAGCGGTGTTGGCAAATTACAGCCTTATCTTTTAATTTACCTTTCAGTTGAGGAACGTCTCTAAAATCTCCTCTTGTTGCATCATATGGTGTCTTGCTGCCGTAATAACTGTACGGGGTTCTATTCCAGTAACACTGGCTGTACACTAACGGCAGATTAAAACAGACACATATTATGGCTATCATCACCAATACGTATGTAGAGATCAGTAATTATGACATTTATCAGTGGTATAAGGTGACTTATATGTGAGCGAGTTTTAATTGCACTCATTGTATTCATAATAAACTAATCAAATCCAGAACAAATCGACCATTATGATAGTATCGGTCACAGTTGCATTAAAGTGTGGGAGGTCACCAGATGGTACTGAGGCGTCTTTAAATTTTAAAAGTGTGAGTGTTTATAATAATATAACGTAGAAGCCATAACACAAACTATAACTGATGCATAGTAAAATGGAATTAAAATGTTACTATTCAATACTATAAGATCAAAGTATTCAGAGGTATATCATTTTACATTATAAAGTAACACTGAAGATACTAACGATTTAGATAAAGAAAGTATTTATATTCATGTAAAATATTCAATTAATTTGTTTGATATTTTTCATTTGTATTTGATATTTAATAAATGGGTTTATAGAATAATAAATAAAACATAATTTATATTTATGACAACGATATCTCTTTATTGGATGTCAAAATGGCGTGGGAGGGGTGTGCGAGCTGCTCCGTGTGAAGGTGTCAGGTGTGTCTCTGGAGGTCGGGAGATCGCACACCCGAACCGAGCCGCGAACATACATCACGGTAATAAATAATTATAAATAAATATCAACAAGTTACAAAATAACCTTTCGTAAAAACATTAATAGAGCTAAAAAAATTTTGGGCGCAATTTAATACATTTTCACATTTTAACACTGTTATTATATAGAATGGTAACGATCTGTACAGTCCGTGTTTATTTTCTGTTTTGGAACGTTTAAAAATCGTTTTCAAGCGCCAGGTCGAACCTTGGTGGGAAGGTGCCGAAGCCGTCGTGGGCGGGGCGCTGGCGTTGGGGCTGCAAAACAAACACTCATTAAAGTTTGCCCTTCAACAGAATTAACGTCTGGTCATGCGGGATAAACAGATAGAAGGACTAGTTGTATCATCTGGAAAATATAATTTCAGCCTCGCTTATTACAAGTTCATGCAACAATAAACATATAAATATATATATTTCTGAGGATGGGAAAGTTCTCGTGAACAGCATAGTACATGTGCTGTTGTGTTTTAGGGAAACACAACTTACATTTATCCAGTGGTGATCTATGGACGCCCTTTAACGGACGCCTGAATGGATGAAATAATACAATTAAGTTATGTCAGATTAATGAACTTCCACAGATATATTCGTGATAGTTCTTATGCCAGATTAGGTTGTACATTAAAATTGGATGTTAAACTTACCGCCGGACTGACTCCTCTCGCAGCAGATCCCGCACGTCCCTTGCCACGGAATTTGCTAATGGCCTGCTCAGCAAGGTCTGCCCTTTCCTCGGCCTCCTCCAGCTCTTGTTGGGCCTTGCGGAATTTAGCCAAGTTGAGGGCGGCGATTTCTTCGGCTTCCTCGATCTGCCTCTTGTAGGTCTTGATCTTCTGTTGCAGTTTGTCAACAAGGTCTTGCATACGCTCGTGGTTCTTGCGGTCTTCCTCAGCTTGGAAGGACAGTTCCTTGATGCGCCTTTCAGCCTTACGCAGGTTCTTCTGGGCATCAGCGTGTCTCCTTTGTTCACCGTCGAGCTCGTTCTCGAGTTCTCGTACCCTTTGTTCGAGTTTCTGGATGGCCTTCTTTCCTCCCTTAAGTGCGTTGGCTTCAGCCTCGTCAAGCCTGACTTGCAATTCCTTGATTTGTTGTTCAAGGGCCTTGCGGAGTTTCTCCTGAGTCTGAGCGTGCTCCTGTTCAGCGCGGAGTTCGTCGGCAAGCCTAGCGGCATCAACCATAGCCTTCTTTGCCTTCTCTTCAGAGTTTTTAGCTTCATTGAGAAGTTCGTCGAGGTCGGAGTGAAGGGTCTGGAGCTCAGATTCGAGTTTCCTCTTGGCTGCAGATAGGGAAGCGTTTTGGGCAGACAACTCATTAAGCTGTTCATGAGCATCTCCAAGTTCTTGTTCAGCCTGGCGGCGAGCACGGTCAGCCTGTTCAAGAAGTGTACGAGATTCTTCAAGTTCATTCTGAAGAGCGTTGGCACGACGTTCTGAGATGCCAAGCTGTTCACGAGCGTCATCACGAGCACGTTGTTCCTCTTCAAGAGCAGTCTGGAGGTCCTTGATCTGTCCTTGGTAGCGCTTAATGTTCTTCTGTGCTTCAGCGTTAGCCTTGTTAGCGTGGTCAAGAGCGATTTCAAGTTCATTGATATCGGCTTCTAACTTCTTCTTCATGCGCAGGGCCTCAGCCTTACCCTTAGCTTCGGCTTCGAGGGAGGCTTGCATAGAGTCCAGGGCACGTTGGTGGTTCTTGCGGGTGTTTTCGAATTCCTCTTCCTTCTCTTGGATCCTTCTGTCAATCTCTTGTCTGACTTGAGACAACTCAAGTTGAGCACGGAGGACCTTGTTTTCTTCTTGTTCAAGAGCAGCTTCAGCTTCCTCAAGAGCAGCTTGGAGTTCATCTTTCTCGGCTTCAAGACGTTTCCTTGCCTTTTCAATTTCGTGAATGTTGCGTCCACCTTCACCGATTTGGTCAAGCAGGTCCTTAACTTCATCGGCAAGGTTCTTGTTTTCACGGCGGACAGCTTCAAGTTGTTCCTGTCCTTCTTCGTAGGCACCCTTGAGACGGAACAGTTCGGTAGAGTAGTTGCGGCATTCCTTCTGACTAGCATCAAGTTCAGCGGCCAGGTCATCAACCTTAAGTTTCCATTCTCCAATGATCTTGTCGAAGGCCTTCTGTTTCTTCTCAGCTGCGTTGGCAATAGCGGTAGCACGGTCAACCTCGAGTTGCAGGTCCTCGACTTCGGTGGCAAGACGTTGCTTGGTCTTTTCGAGAGCAACAACCTTCTGGTTGAGGGACTCAATGGTCTCTTCGGCTTCAGCAAGACGGGCCTGGAGTTTACGCTTGGCTTCCTCGAGTTCTTCGGAGCGGGCAACACCTTCAGACTCGTACTTGGAACGCCATAATTGAGCTTCAGCGTTGGCCTTAGATAGTTGGCGTTGTAAGTCGGCCTTGCCCTCGGCTTCCTCTTCAACTTGTTCACGAATGTTGTCCAAGTCGTGTTCGAGGTTGCGGAATTTGCCAAGAAGGGTGGCACGTTCCTTTAGAAAAAAAAGAGAAAGTTACTAATGTACTCAATTCAATTAAAAATATTTTAAAAGAAGCCGTCATTATGCTTACCCTAGCCTCCTCGTCAGCGAGCCTCTTGGTGTCTTCCAACTGAGTTGTAAGCGACACCTTGATCTTAGATAGCTGAGACACCTGGGACTCGGCCTCCTCCAATTGACGGAGGAGGTCAGAGTTCTCGATGGACAACTTCTTCTTGGCGGCATCCAAGTCATTGAGGGTACGGTTGGCTTCATCAGCTCTGCCTTGTACTTCATTAAGTTGGTGTTGCAGTTGTTTGACGATCTTCTCTTGGCCAGCCTAAATAATTATTAGAATTTATTAAGAAGTTCATTATTATATATCTTGTAATGTCACTGTAAACTTAAAAGTTTCAAATGTGTTTTGACGTTTTTAATACTGTAAAAACCAACGTGGTTAACTTTTCAATGGATAAAACTGCAAAATTCGTTTATTGTTACTCTTGCTATTGTGTGGTTAGTATATAAATACTTATTAAAATTGTAATATTAAGAAAACATTTCTCGTAAAAGAAATTACTAAAAAAACATCAGATTTATGTTAGATTTTATTAAAACGACATGCTTTTAAATTATTTCTTTGTTGGATGTTAGTACACACACAGTTATATAAAAAATTAGAAGCAGTCCTAAAGCAATTTTTTTATTGTTACATTTTATTTCGTGAAAAAGAGTTGTTGTGAATTTGTGTTTTGCGTAGATTATATCTAATTCCGCATTTTATTTGTACAAAGCTGCGAAGCGTCTTATAATTGCTGATGCCAACACGAGTACCATTTCATCTTAATATACCTTTTCGTTGGACAAGTGGTCGAGACCGGCGCGAAGGTCATTGACTTCGCTAAAGTATTGAGAACGCTCTTTCTCAGCCCTGGGTAGATAAAATACAACAAAATATTCAGTAGGGTAACGCTACGAGTTATGGGTGTGTCTCTATGATTAGGATTTACATGGTCTTATTTCACCAGATTGAAGAAACTGTAGAGAGTATATAATAGATGTTGTTTGTGTGATCGAGGGTCTACCGGGTAAAAGGAATTTATCATGCAAATACACCCCCAAGCGGTACACATGCCTATGGTAGACATGTTACCTTTTCCCTTGCTACTTGATCAATTGCTGCGCGGGTGTTGTTGAGCTCGTTGTAGCAAGAAGCCCGATCATGTTCAGCCCTGAATTCGCAGTTATTTAAATATGGCAAAATTATACTCTATCATTATCATCACCTGGTTGCCTTTTGCTATGATTATATTATTTTCCATTGATATAGTTAAAATTACATAAAAAAAGTCATAAACTCTGATAATTATTCACTTTGGTGATAATTTTTTTTTTAAATCTAGTACTAAATAAAATTTGACTTACTTAGCCTTAAGTTTGTTAAGCTGGTCTAGCTGCTCGCCCATCTCCGCAACAGCATCATTGTGCTTCTTGCGAAGGTTAGCGAGGGTAGACTCGTGTTGAATGTTAGCTTCCTCCAAGTCACGACGAAGCTTGCTAAGCTCGGCTTCACGCTTCTTGTTAAGCTCAATTTGAGCAGAGGTTGCACCACCAGCTTCCTCAAGACGCTCACCCAACTCTTCGAGTTCGCGAGCCAAGTCAGCACGTTGTTTCTCAGCCTTTGCGCGAGCTTGACGTTCGGATTCGACTTCCTCTTCCAACTCCTCGATACGGGCCTGTAGTTCCTTGATTTGTTTCTGAACCTTGCTAACCAAAGACTGTTCGTCCTCGAGCTTGGCAGTAAGGGAAGAGATTTCTTTGTCCTTGCGTTGGATGGTCTGTTCGAGCTCCTTCTTGTTGCGCTCAAGGTCAGAAACGGCCTCCTGCGTAAGTTTAAGGTCTCCCTCAACCTTCCTCCTCTGCTTCTCAACGTCAGCGCGGAGTTTCTTCTCACGCTCCAGAGAGTCCTCGAGTTCGTCAAGAGTCTGCTCAAGCTTTTGCTTAACTTTGTTGAGGTGGTTGACCTTGTCCTCAGCAGCCTGCAACTCCTCAGCTGTCTTTTGAGTTGATTCACCTTGGAGTTTCTTTTCCTTGTTAAGTTTGTTGATGAGCTCGTCCTGGTGGGCGATTTCATCATTCAAGTTGCGGATTTGGTGGTCTTTAGTTGCCTTGTCCTGTTCAGACTTCTGGACGGAAAGTTCGAGGTCTTCAATGTCCTTCTTAAGACCAGAGACTTCCTGCTCCAACTTCTTCTTGGCTTGGAAGAGTTGGTTACGGGCATCCTCTTCTTGAGTAAGACGGTCTTGAGTATCCTAGAACATGAAAGAAGTTTCTAAAGTCTGGGATAATAAAATGGATGTTTTTATTTATGTTATACCTACTAATGTCTTTTATTATAGCATGTCTGTTTTCCATCTATCGAGAAGTAAATGTTATTTATCGTTATAGTTTGCAATAAAATCGTGCACATTGCAGACGTGCAATTTATTTTTAACATCTCAGGCTATTTCTCTTGTAAACAAAAGTGTGTTTATTTAAGGAGCCTAGTTATATTTAGCTATGGATATATCGTTTTGTTCCTTGGGTGCCGAAACATATTTGGATGTGATCGATAATACTTACTAATATTAAGATAATATAATAATTTCACTTCAGTTTGAATTTATTATTTTTAATGAATACTAATTTATATTTAATAAAAATTTGTAAAAATGTATTTGAGATGAAAATAATTTAATTATTTTGTCGAGATTAAAAATATTTTTTACTATAATAAATTTATTAAAATTTTTAGAAGACTTACCCTAAGTTGACTCTCGAGGTCAGCCTTTTGGGCCTGGAGTTTAGCAGCACGCTCTTGGGTCTCGGAAAGAGAACCCTTTTCTCCCTCAAGTGAAGCCAGAAGAGCTTGCTTTTCTTCCAGAAGCTTGTTGTTGAGGGCCTCAACTTCCTTTCGGAGTTTCTCTTCCTTCTCGAAGGCTTCCTGGGCTTTTTGTGCTTTCTCTTCCAATTTCTGTAAAACAACCTCACTTTTATCTACACCATCCCATGTTGAATTAAATGTCGCTGCCATCGTTAAAGCGTATCATATAAATTAAAATTAGGAATGCTATATTTTCGGGTTCGTTCGAGAGTTAAGGAAGGGTAGGTGCGCGCCGCCGACCACTCCGTAACTAAGTCGCGCTGGAGTTTTCCAGCGAACGTGTAATCGCCCCCGCACGCAATACATTGTGTTTGGAAGAAGTGCGTAATCGCTGGAGTGGGGCGAAATCCAGAAATGGATGCGGCAGGTGCGGTGGTGTCACGTAACCGCCAGGTGGGCGCGGTCGAATCTATTTGCGTACACTTGAATCACTCGATATAAGCGCTAGAATATTTTATGGGTCAAAATGTTCTATAAAATTTAAACAGGTGAGCATACGCACCGCGATTTCATCCTCGATGCGGGTGACGTTGAGGAGAGGCTTGACCTTCTGCCACAGTTTCCACCATGGCCAGGTGCGGAGCTGCAAGTACTTGCGCAAGTTGCGCTGGACAACTTGGAGAGCCAATCTGAAATATAATATGTTGTTATATTTCTGTCCTAGCCCAGTCTAGCATTTCGTCGAATTTTATTTCTATACCTCTGTTCCTGCAACTTCTTGTAATCCTTACGGGACAGGTAACCACGGATGTAGGCCTGGAGCCAAGAGATAATCTTGGACAGCCTATCGTCACGCAACTCTTCCATCTGACCCAAGACACCGGCACGGAAGAATACCTACTCATCGAAAGCAAAGTTTAGTACCTTTTTTCAATCATAAACATTTGCGAAATCCAAATAGATTTGAATTTAACACTAAACAGAGAATTTAAAGCTTAAATAAAACAGAATTCTATTTTTTGAAATAAAATGAAAATTTTAGTAGTTATCTGTTTTTTGAATTTACATTCGTAACATAACTAAATCACACAGTACATACATAAAAAAAGACAAAACAAAAGACATTAGTCTAAACACAGGGAAAGTTATGATCATGCATTGAAGTCAGTGAGTATTAGACTGGTAGCTATTTGTATATAGCTCTACCTTAGTTTTTCCGAGCCTGAAAGACTCCGAGTCCAAGCCAGTATGTTCGAGAATTTTCTCGGTGGCTTTCTCAGCACTTATTGGTTCTTTGAGCAGGTTGGGGCACAGAATTTTGTATCTGCGTTTAGGGATTACAAAAATAAGATTAAGATGCAAAATAGGATTATGGTAGGAAAGGGGGTATCACACGCGAGCCAGAGTATTTAGGGCTCTTAGGAAAAAAAGCGTCCTTATTTTTTAAGGATTGGGATTCACAAAACCAGTTTCTCAAGGTTCTACAGCTTCTTCAGGCGTACTATTGCCCTGCTATCTAATAGATAAATCGTAAATCGCCTAAATGCAATTACGATCTACGAAAACTTCAAACATGCCTTCGTGTGACCCAGACGGTATGACTCGACATCCAAGCCAGTTGTTTCCAAAATGATTTGGGCCACTTTCTTAGGGTCAGATTCCTTGGCGCAGGCTTGTGGAGCCAGGATCTTGTAGCTACATTTTCAAAATAAATTGTCACACAGTGAGGAAGTGGAAAAAACCAGGTACCTAATGTAATTTATCATAACGGTTCTAGGAAGATTGGGTATATTAGGTAATGACGACATGATTTTGTAGTGTCATGTAGCCGCTACTTAAAATTAAGCATCGGTGGAAAAGAAGATTGTAAGAATTAACTACTATAGTAAAAGAATTTGATAAACACTCTATTCCTTAGAGTTTTATCATTCGTGTAAACTCTATTCCTTAGAGTTTTATCATTCCTAAAAACTCTATTCCTTAGAGTTTATTGATGCGTATTCACTCCAAGGATTATATTATATGCCTTGCCTTCGTGTGACCTATACGATAGCTTTCGGGATCTAAGTTGATGGCTTCGAGACACTTCCTAGCTGCCTCTTTAGGATCTTTTTCAGCTTGCATGATCGCTGGTGCAAGGATCATGTAACTGTTTGTTTAAAATATCATTTTACTATTTGAAATTAAAATAATTAAAACAAATTATGTATCTAAGGTGTGAATGTCTAGACTCTAGACGATTCATCAAATTATTTTAGAATCGGTTGCTCATAGCGAAAATGCTTCCGATGACGTCAGAGTCAGCTGCAGCTATTCCGAAATAAAACTGTTCCACTTTTACGAATGTTCCAGAGCTAAAAGAATTTGCTTGGACTGCCAACTAAAATTCAACATTCACTAAAATATTTATGATCCTTTAAAATAAAAATAAAATAAGTTTCAGTGATTTGTGACACTATACCGAATATATCCAGTCTAATATTTTTTTACTATTATTCATGTTGGCAATTATTTTTTCTATTAAACTTACCGGAGCTTGAAGTCAGGGTATACCATCCTGTTGGGGAAACCTTTACGGCAAATACGGATGCCTTCAAGCACACCGTTACAGGTCAGCTGGTGCATAACAAGGTGAGAGTCGATGAGACCTGTTGGATGGGGTGGTTTAAAGAATATCGATATTAAAACCTAATATAGGGAAACGAAACTTTCTTCTTACATCATGATAGACTTGACTTGTTATTATTATGAATATTCCAAAATTATTAAAAAGATACGTTTTATTTATTACTTCTATATGAAAAGCATCCACATATTTTTTGTGAATAAAAAATCTGAATTTATTATTTTGTGGTATATAAATAAACATAGCTGAGCAGATCGTATTTCAAAGATTTAACACCTACGCACTTATGTAGGTGTTGACTCAATCCAAGATAGAGCACGTGGGTGTTAACATCATTGAAGTATTTTTTTATTTATATATGAAATATCTAAATATATTAACAGACGAACTTATGAAGTTAAACTTACCAGGAGTCTTCGTTTCGTTGGGAATGATACAACGTACGAAGTGAGGTTGGGTCGACCTCAGGGTGGTCATCAAGTTGTTCAGTTGTTCCTATAGATATTTAATCGATTAGAACTTATTTGCATTCTTCTTAACAAAATCAAAGCAAAATCCATGTGCGTAATAAAACATTTAAGATTTTTTTTACATAAAAAAACATTTAAAAACTTTGAAAAATGGATGAAATTTTTACATGAATGCACCACAATAAATGAGTGGCTTTTGAAGTATTTCTGATAATGATGAGAGAATTAGATAAAAACACACAAAACTGGGTTAGACACAAACATACAACAACAAACATAGATCTTAGTACATGTATAGTTCAGCGGCAATCAAATTGGCTTTCTTTAAGATTTTTTGCTGCTGGTTTAAAAAACAGATTAAGACGCATTCGTATTCTTTTGCGCCAAATGTAATGCTTCAAGAAAACAAGAATATAATGAATTGAGAGGATTAATACCCCGTTTTTTAGTAGGTATTAATCAGAGTAAATAATCTCTCCTGTGGTCAGAAACATAGTTTAATAATGCAGACTTGTGTATCTGCACTAAATGAGGATGATAAAAGATATCAAAAAAATCTAAAAAAAATAATAATATTTCTTAAAGTTGTGTACCCTGTACGCGGAGGAGACAGTAGCAAAACCACCTCCCTTCTTACCGCGACCTCCTATGGATATACATTAATAAGCAAAAATTAATGCAAGGACAATCACAAATAAAACGGACATAATACTATGACGAAACACCTGCAAAATACGACGACTCGACTGTGAAACATATATAGACGTGGACATATATTGTTAGCATGGAGAGTTGACACCTTATTGATATTTATAATACGTTAAATAATAATAATAATATAGAAGGTGTCAACCCGAAGCATGTTGAGACGAGGGCAATCAGACAGTGACATAAGCAAATTTTTGGATTCGTGTGTCTTTTTACCCTGTAAAGTGATGATACGGTCTGGAAGGCAGAACCCTTGGCACGCTTGCCACCAGCCCCTATTTCATGTAAAAGACAGTTGTGAAAAGGAAATATATTTTATATAGTTGCACCTTCCCTTTAGAGCAATAATTATTTTATGTATTGTGTACTGTGTAGTGTATATGTAGTGATGTTAATGAGTGTAATAGTGTATGTGTTATGACAATTTTCTTTTACCTATATGTATGAAGAAAATCAGCCCAACTTTTGAGGTAATCTTTGACAAACTCGCTCACATTCTTGGGGATTCCTTATATGCTAAATACTAGCAGGCGTCGAGAAAATATGGTTACAATATGTCTTTTTTCATAAAGACTATAGATTATTATTTTTATATTCTTTTCATTAAGTTTATATGCTATTTTTCGAATTTTTATGAATTTTATTTTAATTTACCTAAGATGCAACTTAATCAGGTCCACAATAAGTCTACTACTCTTATATTAAGATGTTTTTAATGAATTCTCTACATACCCTTGCCACCGCCACCACCGGCGTCACCGGATTGTCCGGGATGATCAGCGAAGATTTCGACCAACAGTTTGTTGCTACCCTTCTTGAATTGGTCTACGACAGTGTCGTTAAGAGGGTCCTTGTTCTTCTCAAGCCATCCAGTGATGTTGTAGCCGACCTAAGTATCAAACGAGATGTTGTAAATTATATGGTTCGCTAGCCTATTTACATACTCCTTCTGGTAATACTTACATTTCCGGCGTAGTGACCGATGGCGAAGTGGGCGGCTTGGCAACCAGGCTTGGGAGGTTTGGGCTTCAGGTAAGGAGCAGATTTACCCAAGTGGTTGTTGTTCAACTTTTCAACGAAGGTTTGATCGGTAGCTTTAGGGAACATAGACTCTTCCTCAAGAATTGAGAGGATACCCATAGGCTGAAATCGAACCATTAGTATGAGTATTTGCGCAAACATTGTTAATCGAATATTGTGTTTTGGATTTTAAACTACCAAGTGTAGAAGCTAATCTGACCGTGTATAATATAATTTATATAAGAATAAAACTATGTATAGCTAAAATACTAAGGTAATTTCGAAAAAATAATGTTTGAATGTAAGGGATTGTGTAATTTGTGTACTTATATCTAAATTAAGGCGTTATTTTGAAAGCATCATGCAATATAAATAGTGTAATGTGCAATATTTATGTGCGAGTTCATAATGTGCTTATTGTTATATGTAGCTATCTTTATAATTATACTTGTATTCTTTTCAAAAGCATTTAAATATTGGTTAAAAATAGCGTAATAAATATCTATTACTTTAACCGCCTCCATTGGCATAAACAACTGCTTCAAGTTAATCTTATCTAGTATTTACACTACCATATAAAAGGACTCTAACAAATGTATATTTTATATGAACCTCGATAACTAAGTGCAAATTTTATGTAATCTAAATAACAGCTTATGAATTAGATTTGGTATTGATTTGGCAAGACTTTATAAAGCTTTGATATTTTAACGAATATCCCGAGGAACAAGGTATACAGCCAGCAAATAATGTTGTGTCTGCAGGCGATGAGAGGCAGTAGCCTTTATAATTTCAGTCGGAAGCTGCTTCTAACGACCCTGTAGCAGCAAGCTATATCTTTAACTTTATACCCCTAATACCTTTTCTATTAAATTTATTGTAGGTTGGAGGTCTATACCAAAATCTATGAACTCCCATAATATCCCTTCTCGTTCGTATTCCTCTTGTTCTAGGACGAACATGAAATGATTAAAGTACTGTTGCAATTTTTCATTCGTAAAATTAACGCAGAGCTGATTAAATCCATTGATCTGCCTCGCGAACATGTAAAAGATATCGAAGCTGTTGTTATTTACCTATGTACTTAATTGTAATATTATTGTGGGTGTACTTGCGTCTGTCTGGTGGTGTGGGTTTGTAATATTAAATAATACATAAAGGTACACACAAAAAACACACAAAACATTTTTCACATTGCGGGTCTACAGAAACAAGCTTTAAAATCCAATTATATGTATTTTTTTAAATAAATGCCAATGTAATTTTTTATTAGCTTGTCCCTGAGACCATGGCGAGTTGCAAGCGTTCATTGTTGCGTTTTCGCCATCTACCTTTTCTATAAGGTCAATGCAATTCTGCAGATCCATGCCAAAGTCAATGAAAGTCCATTCGATGCCTTCGCGCTGGTATTCCTCTTGCTCCAGCACGAACATATGGTGGTTAAAGAATTGCTGAAGTTTCTCGTTGGTGAAATTAATGCAGAGTTGTTCAAAACCGTTGTACTGCAGGGGCACATTAATGACATGGTTAAAGCTAGGGGTTTATAACATCAAAGGGGAATAAAAATATCCTGACGGATTACATTCCGCAGATATTTTTCCTAACCAAGACCTGGATGTGCAAAGTACATTTATCAGCCGCGTCTATCCCCATAGACTCGGCAATTGTGCATAAATAAATCCTGTCTGCATTCTTCAGGCGACGACTAGCAAAACGTTCGGGTAGACTATTACCTTCTCGATCAAATCGATACAAGCTAGCAAGTCCATTCCGAAATCAATGAAAGCCCAGTTGATGCCTTCCTTCTTGTACTCCTCTTGTTCGAGTACGAACATGTGGTGGTTAAAGAATTGCTGGAGCTTCTCATTTGTGAAGTTAATGCAGAGTTGCTCGAAACCGTTGTACTTTATAAACAATACGAGACCCAAATAAATAGAGGGGACAGAGTTAGATGCTAACTAAAAAATCGTTAGTCGCGGGAAACGTCGATAGCTAAAATCAAACATTGATAACACCAAAGGCTCTGTTGCGGCAAGGTGTTTTCCACCGAGTGTACCTTTTCAATAAGGTCAATGCAGGCTAATAAGTCCATCCCAAAGTCAATGAATTCCCAATGAATGCCTTCTTTAGTGTACTCTTCTTGTTCCAACACAAACATGTGGTGGTTGAAAAATTGTTGCAGTTTTTCGTTTGTGAAGTTAATACAAAGTTGTTCGAACCCATTAAACTAGGGAAGTAAATTGCATTAATATCATAAGAATAAATAATTATATATTTTTTTTGATCTTGGATCTCTTCTCAGCTGCTAGTTGAAATTGTCATGAAGTTAAATGTTACATCAATAATAAAATATTCACATATTTTACTTAACTATTAAATCGTCCGATTGGAACGAAAGAACCGATTTTGATGGAAACTTTACTTTACTTTGTTGTATTTGTATCCTATGTCATACTCACGTCGAAGATCTCGAAACCAGCAATATCCAGTACACCGATGAAGTGTTGTCTCTTCTGCTTGGTGTCTAGAGTTTCGTTACACTTCTTCACGAGCCACTTGAACAGACGATCGAACACACCCTTGCAAAGGGCACCGACGGAGTTGATGACCTGGTCCTTGTTACGACCCTGGGTGACGAACTCGTTTCCGACCTTGATGCGAGGCTTCAGCAAGTTCTTGTATAAATCAGCACAGTCGACTCCGAGGAGCTTGGCAACCTTGTCACCGTCCTATAAGAAAAATTGCTTTTTATAAAATCTGTCTGAGGATTGTAGCTTAATTTTAATTAATTTAATGATCACGTAATGAGAAATAAATTTAAACTCGCCTCAGTGCCGTCGGCCTCAGCCTGTTCCTCACGACCCCTCTGCTTGAACTTCATACAACCCATGTGCATTACAGCGGCGGTGATCTTGTATACATTGTCCTTTTCTTCTTGGGTGAAACCAAGGACGTCCATAGCTTGCTATAATACCAAAAGAACTTTAGAACTTTGTGTCATGTTTATGCAAAAGATAAATATGTACGTTTATATAGAAATCACTTTTTTTATAAAAAAAAAATCACATCATTTGTCAAAAAAATTTAAAATCCACCCATGCAAACCATACAGATTAGTAGTGGGAAAAGAAAGCATTAGTCTTATTCTAAGCATTTCGCGGTATTTAATCTAAAGATATTTTTTTCTTTCATAATCGCTGGAGATTACTACATCGTGCTTCGGTAATAAAATCCATTTCTTTGGATATTTTATACACTTTTATCAAGACTTTCCCATCTACGGTAAAAAATTGCTCCAGTATCTTTTGGCCTTCAGGTATTCTCTATTCTATTTCCTGGAACTTGATTTTAAACTTACGTCGGTCAAACCGCATTCTTCTCCATCATCGACGTTGGGAATTGTAATCTTACCCTGAGCGACGTTATTGTAATCGTATATGTCGTTGGATAACATACACATCTCTGTTGGTTAAATTGGAAAATTACTAATAGCAAAACTGAAAAAGATCTCCGCTGAAAAACCTAGAACCTATCCATTATACCCTGTCATTGTTTTGTCTGTGATTGTAAACATAATTAATCGTGCTTGTGATTTAATGAGAACACTTTCGTGTACAAAACTTGTGCATTATGCTCACTCGACCTTTAGCAGGAAGCGAGCCATGTGTATGTTAGGATTTTGGTCAGAACAGGCCTGGAAGCCTTAAGGATGCAATAACTGAAGCAAGACGCACGCTCCTTGTGTTGGTTCAGAACTTACGAGCGTGAGTTCAAATTGCTCTGCGTCGTTGACCCCGGGTATCCGAGTCGTTCCTTGACTTAATAGAGGAAAGTTCGAGATGCGGTTGCTTAGCATCGTTAGCTCTGTAAAGACCAGATCGTCTGACATACACATGCATAGACTGAGTTTTTGATCAGTCATAAGCGAAGCAAGCATAGAGAAAAGAGAAGATTTTCGAGACAGAAAGACGAGCCAGTAGTCTTATTCTGGACTCACGTCTGTAAGTTTCATCTCCTCGCCGTCGTCGACGCCAGGGATTACAGTCTTGCCTTGTGATACGATGTTGTAGTCCATTACGTCGTTAGACAAAAGACACAGTGCTACAAAACAACACCAATAACAGTCACAATGGTATTGGCTCCTTTAAAGCTAGGGAGGTATAATACACATGCTTGGGAGGTACAGTAACTAAACTAAATCGATCTCGGTTCTGTTCACAGACGAGATGCCCTAACCACCCTTCCGTTGTATAGAAGTGGTTAGAGGGTATAAACGCGATCAAGCCCTCTGTTCTGGGAAGGCTCAACTTACGTCTGTCAAAGTACATTCCTCGCCATCGTCTACGTTGGGGATGGTAGTTTTTCCTTGCGATATGATGAAATAATCATATACGTCGTTTGACAGCATACACATCTCTAAATATCAAAATTCAATTATCATATATGTTTTGGTGTGTATGTGAATTGTCGTGTGAGCATTTTGATCTTAATCAATTACATATGATGAAATTAAACCAATTAAAATATTTTTATAATAAATTAACCTAAAATTAACATCATTATTGCCTGTATGAATGACTTATATGAACATACAAATAGTATAAATAAGTCGAAGTAATTTCACTATAGTCAATTACGTAGATATTCGTCCGCTGTCAGATTGAATGTCGGATGAATAAATACATAACTTGACCTATTATCTGAACAGAAAACATACCCTTAAGTCCAGGGACGGAGCCGGACATCATCTGGTAGAAGATGTGGTAGGAACGCTCAAGGGACTGTTGGGAGATGACACGAGCCTTCTCAAGCAGATCTGAGAACAGAGGAATTCATTTCAGATTATTATGAATTAATTATTGCTTGGCTATCGCTTTGTTGTAATTTATTAAAAATTATTAAGAATACAATGGGATATTTGTAAGATATGAAATCGAACTTCTAAGGACTCTCCTCAAATGATATTTTATGGATTTTGAAGTAATGAAAGTGATTTTATATGTAATGTTTTTAAACATTAAGCATCTAAAACTTTAAATTATTCAAAGTACTTACAGGTCTCAATGTCAGCACCAGCCAGTTTTCCAGAGGGTCCGAAGTGGATACGGATGAATTTACCCTGGGTAAGGATGAAAAGGTTATTTTACAAAGAAATATATAATCTGAAGGTCTTAGATCGTTCATCAGTTCCTTTAATTGAAACAAAATTTTGTGAAGATAAAAGTAATATTTAAAAATGTGGTTATGTGAATTGTTTACTCTTTAGTAAGACCTAATAGCATTTTATGTGATAAGTTCAAATATAAAAAATAATACTTACGAAACGGGAAGAGTTGTCGTTACGCACAGTCTTGGCGTTACCAAAGGCTTCAAGCACAGGGTTAGTTTGTACGACCTGGTCTTCCAGGGATCCCTTCTTCTCCTGGGTAGGATCCTTCTTTTGAGAAGCACCGACGGTAGCGAAGTAAGCAATTACCTTCTTCGTGTTTTCAGTCTTACCAGCACCAGACTCACCGCTGTTAGTCGAAAATTTACATTAGAAATACTTCGCAACGATACGAAGAACATTTTATAGAAATTGATCCTTTGAAACATCCTTTAATATTAATTTGTACTTACGTAATCAACATAGATTGATTCTCGTGGTTGGTCAACATGTTGACGTAAGCGCCGTCGGAAATGGCGAAGATGTGGGGTGGCACTTCTGAACGACGCTTGCCACGGTAGAGCTTGGCGCATCGTGTGGTGTACACGGGGAATCTCTTGTAAGGGTTGATAGCCACACAGAAGAGACCGGAGTACGTCTGCAGGTGATAAGATACATGATAGAATGAACGGGAAAAACAGCATACCGGTTTTTATATGAACAATATATTGCAAAATTCTGATTTAAATATTGAATGAAATATAATGTATTAATTTTATATCATTGCCAAGTTGTAATGTATAGTGAACAATATTACTTAAATATTGCTTAGAAACTGAAGATAAAATTAATACATTGGCGAAAACACGTAAAAAAAAGACGGACACAGTAATAGTACGGTAATGATACTTTTTTAACTGTGTCACATTATACTAAAATTTTCCATAATTTATACAAAATACATATATGGAATATTTTAGCAAACGATACAAGTCCAAGAATGAATCATACAAAAAAATATGAAGAGTATCTTCCAAGAACAAGCCGGGGACATTTTGCGATGTCTTTTATCCAGCTGTAGTATAAATAAATTAGAGCTCTATTGTCTAGATCGTGATATAACTTGAATTATTAACAATACATTTTTATTTTTGTGCAAATATTTTTAAATATCCAGTGTCTCGATAAAAAAGATGGTCTTCATCATATGTCGTAGATAATAGAGCTCTATAAACACAACACTGAAACAACTATCACGATAACGAAAAAAATCAATGTTCTGGACGTCTTCGAGTCCTTTTAACCGTCTTGTCCTGTGTATAAGGGTTCAAGAACGGCACTGAAAAGAGATTGAAAAACAAGAGGAAGGGAACGCCGTGGAAACATAGACACCTTATAGTAGAGTATTATAATGAATCTATAAGAATCTGGTGCAACACAAGCAATATCTAAATAAATACTTAAGAAATTAAAATAAATACTATCTCTATTGATACTTCAAAGAAAAGTTAATTATATAAAGTTATTCTTGCGTCATAAATCATTATTTGGACAGCATATATATAACGAGCGAACTTAAAATGATTGCGCTCAATTTAGCACCATAGAGAGGAAACAGATTGCATTCATTTTACATAGCAATCATATCTTCCAGTCGACTTGTGATGAATTACAAATAACTTGGTAAGTTTCCAAGGTGTCTATGTACAGAGAGGTAAGGTAAGGTAAACATGCAAAACTCGAACGCTGCAACTCCTTTCTGGATCCCGACTTACGTAAATAAGTTTATGGTAATATCTTTGCTTCAAGTTATACAAAACTGAAGCGTCGTTGAGGTATGTCAAGTTGGACATATCCTCGCATTTTTCGTACTTAGGCGGGTTGACTTGGGCAACAAGGTCCTTCTTGAAGTCTTTGGTCTGCGAGAAAAATATAACAGTGAATATTACAGTAATGGTAAAGGCGCTTCCCGCGCCGACTTACATAAATGAGTTTCGCATAATATCGTTGTCGAAGATTGTGAAGAACAGCGGCCTCATTGAGGTATGTCAGGTCAGCCATATCTTCGACTTTCTCGAATTTCGGCGGGTTTACTTGTGAGAGGAGTTCCTTTTTTAATGTCTTCTCCTGCTCATTTAATAAATGCGTTATATATATGTTTGCAAATAATAACTTTCATTATCTTAAACTTATTAGATTAAAGTAATGATAGTTTGCCTTTACAGTTATAGTATTTCTAAAATTCATCCTACTTGATAAACAAATTCAAAGTGATTTAGTTCGTTTTTAATTATGTATATATTTGAGCAAATATCTAGAAATTTATCCTCTAATACAGCTAATAGTATTCCTTGACCTCTGCCTCTCTCTATATATATTTAATTACCTCGCCTCCGGGCAGGTTGACTGTCACCAGCTCTCCCTTGGTGGCCTTGATCTCACCCTGGACGAAGCCCTCCTTCTCGTCGGGCACCCAGCAAGCCTTCTTACCATCGTAGGGCTTGCTTTGGTCGATACGTTTCTGTTCGAGAGAAACGAACAGGTATGGAGTCGGATCGGGGTCCTCGCCCTCTTGAACTTGTGGCTTCGGCATTTCGGAGGGCTAACGAGACTTTTGGGCTAGTTGAGACACGAGAACACAGCCCTGGAGCCTGCCTGTTAGAAATATAACGAGTTAGGGGATTGTTTGCCGATATCGTTGAACCGAGGCCCCCGTGCGTCTATTTGCGGTGGTAACCCGAGTAGTAGCCTCTTTGGGAACGATGCCAGCTCGGACGCCGTTTGCGTAATACAGAATTTTATGTGCTCGTTTTTAGTAGCTTATCCCGTGCCGCTATACGCGGATGTTACGTCACAGGAATGCGGTTCTGGAGCGACGCCAACAGATTTGAACCGATCATGGATTGTTGCTTATTGTCTTTTATGGCAATGGTTGATGGTTTAGGAAGCCGACGGATCTATAGCTCGCTATATGTATTGGAATATAAATATAGAATATATTTTTATTGTTCTAAAAATGACATTCTAAAAATAACTTTTATCGGAATCTATTAATTATTTATTTCTTATTTAATTTATTTTAACTTATTTATAAGTTGACAAGTAAAGTAATTAAGTAAAGTAATTAATTTTTTTTGAAAAAAAAAATTAAATGAACATCTACTATTCAAATCAATCAGTACATTTAATTTCTATTTGCATTTTAATTTCAATGATCAAAAATTAATAATCTTCATGAGGTCGGTGTTTAAACCATCACCAAAATGATCGCTTCAACAATCCATCACCATCAGTAAACAATAGCTCACTCTTCCACAACACATATTCTATAATCAAATCCAATCCAATCCAATCCAATCGGTAAACCAGTTGGGCGACGTCACTTATCTACACTCGCGATATAATATTGTTGCACATCACTAGACGCACGGGGGGCATGCGTGCGTACTTACGTTTGAAGCCGTTCTGACCGGCGGCGGGGATCGCAGCTGCTTTTTATACCAGCAACACGACACCACGGCTCCCGACCACCCCATTTTAGGCGGATGCTGGCTGAGCAGCATCTACACTTTCAGATGAGCTTAGCTTTCACTTGAGCGGCCGCGCTCGTACGGAGACAACGGGCCGATTGTTGGATTCACCAGCTCTTGAACATGGATATAATACACTGGATGTTTATGATGATGTGCAGGTGTTTGATCTGATTACAACGGTTGGAATGGAATAGACTGAAACGGAAACGGTATATCAAAATAAACATTAGTTATTAATTATCAGCGAAGTGTTTTAATATTAAAAATGAAAACCAACTACGGAATATGAAACACGTTTTTGCAAGTTATTTCTGAATATATATATAGATTGTACATTCAATATTACACCAAGAATCACAAATCCACATCTAAGCCTAAAATAAATTTATACATAACGTATGTAATTGGAACAGTATACATAAATTCTCTTATAGAAATAATAAATATCTCATGAAATATTACAGAACGTGTCATTAACATGTGTACTGAATATTGTGAATATTTTAAATTAGATTACGATCAGGGTTGTCAGTATGCATAAAATAAAGTTAACAGTACTCGAGTCCCTGAAAATAGTTAGACGAACTTTTTATGTATACTATTTATATAAATCAAACGTTTGTCACTATTAATGGCAAAAGATCGTAAAAAATAGTGATTCGAAACCTGTATCGATCTAATTTATTGCAAATAAATGTAACATTGATCGGTTATTTGTTAATCAATTTGTTCAAATGTCCAAACATTTCAGACGATGTGATTAAAACAACATGTTCTCCAATTAACTTCGTGACTTCATATTTTCATGAAATTCAACGGAATCTTCCATTATTAGTTCGCGGGCTGACTTGATTTACAATAACTGAAATATATATTGACAATAAAGAAATTGTGCAAACAAATAAAATACAAGAATACATCGTTTAATACCCATGACCTATTGAACTAAACCAATATCATTTTACAAGAGACTTTCTTCTATCTTATATTTTATATTTTCCATCATTTACGAAACATTCAATAGCTTTAAATAATTATAATATATATGAGTATATTTCATAAAGCTCTCTAAATGTCATAATATATGCCAGACATCACATCAGCGGGTCCATTCAAAATCTATTTGAACATATAGCAACATGTGCTGTAATTAGCGACGTAATTTCATATAATGACAAATAGTTTGTAGCTTGGTCATGGGTTCAAAAGGAATATAGTCATGCTGATTATAATTAATTAGTTTCTTATCTTTATGTTGAACGATAACTAACATACGTGCAAACTTTCAAACTTTTAACCTTTATTATTAATATATAATTTTTAATATTTTTTCTGTTCAAATAACATATTATATGTTCAAGCTTGATAGACAATATTAAAAAGTATGCATTATAAGAGCCTCCAATTCTTTTTTACGTCAAATGTGGAAAACGAGGAGTCCGCTTACTTAATGGGAAGTAGAGGCCGTCACCAATGGACATCCACAATATAAGAGATATTAAGGATGCGTTGCTAACCTCGGTTGTTGAAGAAGAATTCCTTCTTCAAGGGTGGAAACAGGAAAAGGGCAACCGGCTCTCTCTCTCATCAGACGAAAGGCAGCAATTACAGACTACTTCACACCGATCTTCTGTGAGAGGATTGTACATACTTCCCCGGTCGAGCCAGCCCATGTTCGAGCTGTAATAACATGACCTCATTGATTAATTGATTAATATTTAATTAGATTTTAAAAAACTTTAAATTAAAATAACATAGAATAACAATGTGATGATTTTTTTTTATACATTTAGTTCTCCCAAAGACTAGGACAAAATTTGCAAAAAAGGATCTTACATATTAAAGAGGCACAACTTTACAACAAATAATCGTCTACTATAAGAAATGCAAGCTTAATTATCGAATTTAAATCTCAACTTTCACCACATATTTTAGAAAATAATTGATGGGTATATCAACGATGTAACACACTTGTAATAATATCTTACTATCTTTTATTGAGTTCCAAATAATCTGGCGACTACTTTTGTATTTTCACTTTTTGTTGTATGTTCTCATATAAGTGACTATGTCTTTTTGAGAAAAAATTCTTTAAACCTTATTTTCTCATATATTAAAAATAATATTCGGACTAGTTTTTCTGCAAAACAAATATTATTGACATTGTTTTTCGTATGGTTTTAATTACGTACCTTCCATTTTAGCTATGAGTACATAAAGACTGGAGTAATATACATTACGTGCTTCATCAGTATTAGCGAAGTTATCTGCTTTTAGGGCATTACGCTGGAAATAAACACAATTTGTTTAAGAGATTGAACGCACAGCATCTGATGAACGGGGTCTCATGTTAGTATTACGCCAGACTTCGTCGTAATACTAATATTTATCAACATGTACTTTCTTGTGCATTTCAAATCATATGTGTCCAAATTATCTTTTTTATTTACATGTGAGACCCATAGATCTTTACTATAGCATACTATAATCTATAAAATGAATTAGAATTCTGCGTATTCCTTTCTTTTGACAAGTATCTAAAATTATATTTAAAAAAACTTACCTATGGTCGGAAAGAAAAACATTTAATTCTTTTTTCAAATATCAGTTTAACTAAATAGGAAACCACTTAATTCTAATCATATTACTTTTTTTTATTTCGTTTTTGATAACCAAAATCTGTTCTTTAATATATAAAGAGAAACTGGTTGTTGTTGATTAATTTTAATAATGTTCAAAACTCACCATTCATGACTATAGTAAAAACTTTTTATAAACTCACATTACTTCGACACTTATAATATTTTAAAAATTTTATTGCAAGGACGAAATTCGGATAACTGACATTTACTATACATTAAATAGGTACACGTAAAAACAATCGAGGGTAGGAACAGAAAAAAATGAAGTTTAAAACAATATTAACAGAAGAAAAATCTAAAGGAAGTTTCGAAATATAAAGACAAAAAAATCTCTATGGAAATATATATATACTTATTTACTTTACTTTTTTAAATAAACTAAATATTACATATGCACAAAACCGTCTTTTCTTCATACATTCGATTATCCGGATTTTCGATTATCCGAATGTCTATCGACAACATGTTTCTACTGTATATATATACTGTATATATATATACTATATATATATATATATATATATATATATATATATATATATATATATATATATATATCAGTTTTTCATAAATGTAAATCATTTCAGTGCAATGAATCATTTACATAATTTGGTGGGCTGGTACTACTTAATGACTGACTAATAAATCATAATAAATATTAACTTTATATCATAGTCTCAGGATAGCACATTAAACACTCCTAGTACAAATTTATCTACAGTTAAAGATGAATATTTTGTAACAAAGATCTGTTTTCCTCATCAAACGGATCGAGTGCTCTCAATCGGGAATGTTCAAGAAGTCTGAGTATCATCGAGAGTGTACTGTATAGTCCATACTCCCGCTGCCTGTTATGGGAGACTAACTGGCGACGAGCCAGATGCCTTCTTTATAGATTAATTATCCTTACGCATTATTAATATTTGAAGTACTTGAAAAACTTGGAACTTAAACATAACTATAGACTTCCAACGTTTATATAAAGTATATGTATATAATTCGTAACTTTTCTATAATTTCAAATAACCTTTTGTAACAATATGCACTTCTTCTACCTGGTAATTTTTTCATTTAGCCAGTTTTGGCTAATTGTTTTTACGACCGGCCGCCTGCCCCACATCCCCCTTATGGGAATGCATTAATCAGTGATGTCTAAATACTCTTAGAAAGTACATATGACTGGAAAAATCACATCGGTACTTGCCAGAATCGAACCCGCGCGCTCATGCATGAGAGGCGGGCCTTTTAACCACTAGGCCACCACTGATTTTTACTATTACTACTTATATTATATTAATATTTCTATACACTATATAAAGCCAGAATGCTTTAACATTTCTTAAACAGTGATGTTATTATTATATTGGCAGTCTTTATTATCGTGCTGAACTATAAATCACGGACTCAGGAATCAAGAACGCATAAAACACAGCTAGGAAATCGTTTGGGAATATAAATACATGTTTATGTGTGTACGTGCATTGTGGAGGAGAAAACTATGTAAAAAAGTTTCATAAACTGTGGGAAAGAAGCTACTTTATCACTCGATCCACTGTTATAATAGTTATAAAAATATAATACAAATGATAACTTGTTTTTAATTTGTATGAGAGAAATCTAATATTTAACATAAGTATATACGCCAGATATAATATTAAAACGACACTTCTCAGCCTTCAATGGTTTCACCTTACAGGTGCGGGACCATCGAGTTACAAGGAGATTACACAGATTTTTTTTCATGATCATTAATTTAAACTAAAAATACGTTATCAAACAATTCACTGATACTAAAATATAAAGTCCACCGGTATGCAAAGCTTTTTCTAAGGACACCTCCATTTGAAAATGAAAAAGAAGCCCTTACTGTTATTGGTTTCATCGTTTTGTTGTTAAGCCCACTTTCATTGGTTTTATTTATTGGGTAAATCAAAAGTATAGTTGGTAGGGGTTAATGTGAGAAGTCATTCCTAGAGAGGCAACCTTTACCTTCTTATTAAAGAGAGCGAAGGGGCAAAGATATATTATGTAGTTCTCATCAACGAAAACAAACCATTGTTTCTTAATCACGAGCTCAAAGTTTTTTTCGTTTGTTATGAGGTCATACAGGCTGGGGCCTCTGATAAGTATTAGATCAATTATCCATAGAGAGCTTATGAGGAGTTTTCATCCATAGAATAAATTTTCAAAGTGTACATATTAAGAAAGAATAGAGCTAAAGATTATTTCGAGCTTCCAGTGTTCTTATTCATTAGTGGAAACTTTGAGAGGAGACTATGAGAGACACTCTGAAAGATTTATAATACTCTGGTCTATTCAACAAAAATACGATCATATTTTATTAGTTGACAAAATTCGTTTCCACATGGAAATCAAAATGTGATTACA